GGAAGAAGCTGGCTGTGTATTGGCAAAAAATCAAATTATGGTTTTGAACGACCATCAAGAGTCCTAAATCTTCCTAAGTAAAAAATTTAGTCTAGGAAAAAAAAAAGGTATCAGAGGAATGACATTTGATATTATGGGAAGAAAAGGAAAACTATACTTTTCTGTGAGAAAAATACTCTGTGAAAAAGTAGTGTGGAGTAAGCAGTTCTAAATGGAACAGATGCCCTTCAAAACTATTTTCACAAGGTTTCCTCAGCTGAACTCTTTAGATTAGATCCACATGGATTCCATTTTTTCTCATTTTCACCACACATTACTATTAAATGCAGATCTTCTAATGCTGTGCTGCTTGGGTATTTCTTATCTGCCAATCAAAAGATGCTCCTTCTCCTTTCAAGTTCAGGTCAGGTTTCGAACAAGGAAGCAATTATTGATAGTTATGCCAAAACCCGTGGAAGATGCCATGGTAGAACAAGAATCTTGGCCTTTGAACCCTGAGACTATTTTTGTTGTCAAGTATTCCATGTTTATTTTTGCCTCATACTTTACAAAAGAGCAGCAGTAAACGTGATTATCAGCCTTCATAAGCTAAGCCTTGTTCCCAGGGGCATTAGAAGAATCTTGTACAAGAACTTGCTAAACTCTCTGAATACTTTTAATCCTATGATCTTTCCCAAAGAATCTTATTTTTCTGGATAATATTTATTCACTTGGGAAAAAAAGAAAACCCAAAGTGGATAACACTAATCAATCTCCCAGAAATCACAAGGTGCTCTGGATGCATCAAAAAGGTATACAGAATGTATGAAGAATGAGGGGTTGGGTTTTTGTCTTGACACTAGGCAGATGGTGCTCTATTTATTTGGGGCACCATGAAAAAAAAAAAGATAATTGGTAAGAGATTTCAACAAATGATGAGAGCTTTTAGAAAGCAATAATTATTTGGGGGTGGGGGGAATTTAATAATTTTACATTTTAAGATTTATAAGGAGCTGGTTCCAAGCCGCCTGGGTAGGAAAGCCAGAAGTGAAGCCATGGCTCAATGGGTAAAATGCTAGTATTGAGCAAAAAAGCTCAGGTGCAGTACCCAGGCTAAGTTCAGGCCCCACTACTGGCACACAACCATGCACGTGTGCTTGGACACACACACACAAAGCTCAAGTGAAGTTAGTATTTAAATATCCTTACATTCTTCTTGAGTGATCTTTAGCATGAATGGATTCTCTCCTTTCCCCAATGGTACAGGAGTTCAACTTCTAGGCAGATGCTCTTACCACCGAGCCATACCTCCAGCCTGTTTTTAGTGGTTATTTTTGGTCTTGATTCCTGCCTAGTTGTGTACCTGGGCACAATCAGCTTATGTTAGACGTCTTGTCATTGCTACAATACCAGGCGTGCACCACTCTGCTCAGGTCTCCATCGACAAGGGAGTTTTCTTGAATTTTCCTGCTGGGCTGGCCTCAAACCACAATCCTATCCATTTCAGAGTCCCAAGTAGGTATAGATACAAAACAGAGTAACCAGCACCCATAACAGAATTTTACATTTCACAGATCTTACATGGATTTTGGAACAGTAGAGAGAAATCCCTCTAACTGCTTCCACCTGCAGTAAAAGTAGATTCTCAAGATGCAGGCCTGTGATTTTCAGAAATCCATTTCTCTTCTCTATACTTTAATGGGTGCAATATCTGTTCTGGTAAGTACTGTGTCAGTCTACTTCAACAAACATGAACTGTTAATATACACAATGATGCAAAAAGTGTCAATATACAATCATTGTCCTCAGCGAATTTCTAACTCAGTAGTAGACAATATGAGCAGTTCTAAGATAAGCCAGAATCAACCAGATGCCATACAACAGTCACAAGCACATAGTACCATCCACCAGTCACGGACAAGAAGGGCAGCATTGGAGTGGAGCACTGAAGACCAGAATCAGATCAAGTAGTAAGGTAACACAGAGGCAAAGGCCTTGGAGTCAGCAGATGGAGTTGGGTTCATCCCGCCTCATTACTTTAGCTATACCAGCTTTACCATCTTATCTATTTATAGAGTGTTATTGAAAAATTTAAAAATTATCTTATTTGCATGTTGAGCTTAACAAGAAACAGTAACATAATGAGGATATCCCATGGCCGGTCCCCCATCAGATGATGGAAATTAGAAAATTTTACCTTGGCACATTCAGTGCAGCATAAATATTTTCAGGGTCCAGATTTAGATTTCTGGCTTTGGACTTGGATCTAGATTCAAGACCTGAAACTCAGAATGTGATAGCAACTGATAAACACATTAAGATCAGGTGAACCAACCAGGCAAAGAAAATGCACACAAATCAAATACTATAGTTAAGTATATAGGGAAAAGTTAAATCTGTTATGAGAAATAAACAGCCTATCCTCGGGAAACTAGAACTCACATATTGGGGATAGCAATAAAATTCAGAATAACTTCTGAAATTCTATTGGTCAGAGGTTGCTCCCCCCTCCGCCCCCAGTCCACTTTAGGGATTACACTAAGAAAATGATCTCAAAGAAGAGAAAACCCTGTACAAGTTTATTGCATTACTACAGCACCCCTGTGGATTATCCTTTTGTTTTCACTCATGTCCTTGGCCCCAGAATGAGGAATTTTCCATGCAGTGGCTGTAGTGGTCAGCTCATTCATCAGGTAAGAGGCCACATCTTTTTAGTGTCTGCAGGGCCACATGGTCTCTCTGGTGCCCTGGGGCTGTATTGCTGAGGCTCTGCCCCACTTTTTCCTCTTCTTGCTGTCTTGGGACCTTTGTGCTTGGTATTTTCTGCATGGGTACTCTTGCCCTGAGACCCGCCTGGGCTCACTCTTCCTGCTTTCCCACTCCTTTGTGTGGTGTTTGTTCCCAAGAAAGCCCACCTCGACCAGCACAGCTCCTCCTCCTGATGTTCTCTTTCTGTACGTTTTATTTTCACAATTTAAGAAATCAGTATATTAATGAAAGTTTAAACAATTTATTTTCCCCTTGTACTCTATGTTATCTCTCAGAGATTAAGGCATTTCCAAAACAAATCAAGAAAATACTGTTTTTACTCTTTTTCATGAAGCTCCCTGTGACTATATCCTCTGCTGTAAAACAGAGCCACTATGAGCTTTATCTTCATCACAGGTGACAGAGCATGCAGCGTGGAAACAATGCAAGATGTATAGCCAGACAGTCATAATTTCTAATTCTGGCTTTGAAATTGTGATTTGGGGCATATTACAGAACTTTCTCAGGGCCTCACATGGACAACACCTGTTTTTTTTTTTTGGTTTGTTATTTTTTTGGCAGTTGTGGGGATTGAACTCTGGACTTGGGCACTGTCCCTCAGCATTTCAGCTCAAGACTAGTGCTCTACCACTTAAGCCACAGTGCCACTTGCAGCTTTTTCTGTTCATGTGGTGCTGAGGAATCAAACCTAGGGCTTCATGCATGAGAAGCAAGCACGCTATCACTGAGCCACCTTCCCAGCCCGACATCTATATCCACACATAGAGCAAAACAGTGCTTGGTACATAGAAAGTACTCACAAAGTGGAAGTACTACCCTAAGTATTTGGTGATCACAAATTGCACTAGTAATTGCAGTGCTGATAATAAGAGAAAAAAGGGAGAAGAAATAATGAAGAGAATCAGCAAGAGAGCTACACAACTCAGGCAGTGTGAAAGTACAAGACATGTTCACAGAGGAGTGAGAAGCAGTCTTGTTTTATTATCAAGAACATGGGATGACACTGCAGGCATTCTGAAAGAAACATTAGAGAAGATCTACTTCCCCCAGGACTGGGATTTGAATTCAGGGCCTCCACTTGTGGGATGCCCTAGCCCTTTCGGCTGTAGTTATTTTTTTCATAGTCATATTTTTTTTGCCAGAGGCTGGCCTTGGATCACTTCTATCTCAGACTCCTGTGAGGCTGGTATTTCAGGAGTGCCCCTACTAGCCACAGAGTGAGATCTGTGCTTTAGGAAAATCACAGGAAATGTGGAGAACAGGATGGAGAGAAGCTAGAGACAAGACATCATTTAGCATATGGACTAGGACAAGGGGGTTAAGGCAGAAGGGCTAGACATTGGAGTCATGGAGAAGAAGCAGGAAACTGTCACAGGAGTCCAGTAAAAGAAAGAAAAAAAAACCAGCAGAGCAAAATTTCCTGAAAATGTTCATTCTAGCAAGCACGGGGGGGGGGGGGGGGGGGGGGGAGGATGAGCGCTGACGGCTCACACTTGTAATCTTCGCTACTGAACAGTCTGAGACCTGGAGGAGAAAGGTTCAAAAGTCTATGAGAGTCCACAGTTATCCAGAAAAAAAGCAAGACAAGGGACTGGGAATGTGGCTTAGTGGTAGAGTGCTTGCCTAGCATGCATGAAGCCCTGGGTTCCATTCCTCAGTACCTCATAAGCAGAAAAAGCCGGAAGTGGTGCTGTGGCTCAAGTGGTAGAGTGCTAGCCTTGAGCAAAAGCAGCTCAGGAACAGTGCTCAGGCCCTGAGTTCAAGCCCCAGGATTGGCAAAAGCAAATTCTAAATATTAAAAAAAAAAGCAAGACAAGGCTTTACAAGTAGAAGAGCATCAGCCATGAATGAAAAAGCCAAGTGAAAATATGAGGGCCTAAATTCAAGCCCCAGTACCAGCACCTAAAACAATGACAGAGAAAGAAAAGCCAACAATCAAGTTCGAGGACAAGAGAGGTCAAAGGCATTTAAAAAGATATCAATAGGCAAAGCATAGGAGTAAGATCTGGACACCTTCCAAAGATGTGACGCCATCACCATGAAGAAGAGAACTGACAGAAACAATAAAAAATGTTAGGATCTCCAAAATACAGGGAAGAGTTCAATAACTATAATGAAGTTACACAGACACTGGGAAGAAAGGACAGAGGTTGGCTAAATAAAGGCTTTTCCAGCAAAGAAATAACATGGCATAAAAATAAGAATTTTACTGTAACCCCTCTGTATGGTATTTTCACAATTTAAAAAATAAAAACAGCAGCATCTGTAAACATTTTATTGATGAATTGAGTTGGTGATTTTTACATTTAATCTATAGACACACAAGCTACTAAAATCATTATTTCTTCAAAACAATGTCCCCAGATTCCTGCTATGAAATTAAGCCAAATCTTTTCTTTTTATATATCAATAAATATCCAGAGGAGACAAATCAAAAAATTATTTATTTACATATTGCATATTTCAAAAATGTCAATGAAATTTCAACATAAAGTTAGCAAATGCTTATAGACCTGCTTATCTCTTGCATTTAAGAGAGTTCCTTACAGGCTGAAATCTTGATGGCAAAACTTCAAAACCTCCATTCATTTGCCAAGGAAGTGCCAAACTTGCTCTGCTTAAAATGAGGGAAGAAAGGTGGTAAGGGAGGAGGAGAAGTGGAAGAGAGGGAAGAACAAATTTAATTGAAGATCTTTGGGAAGCATTTAGGCAGATAAGAGTAATAATCTCAGTATATCATATTTCTGCTGTCAACATTACTTCCTTCTAAATTCCTGTCTACGTTCTCTCAGTTGGCTCAAGCCTTATATCAAACTACATTACAAACTCTAGAACATTCCCACGTTATTTTCTATACTTTATAGGTTTAGTCTCCAGTAAACAACACAGAAGTTAAGTGTCCTTCCTATAATGTGGAAAGTTCTAGGAAAATCACTTGCTATAAATTTCACTGCCCATCAATTATCTGAAATGAGACACTATTGTCCTATCAGGAATATAGCTTTGCTTTGCTTTGAAATTATGTCCAGGGACAATTCTAAACAGTTACAAAGGCATTCAAAGTAAATAGTTCTCATTTTGCCTCTGAATTTGTAAGGTGAATGAATATTCTTGTAGCATTTTACACTAGAAAGCTTTGCAATATCTCCAAAGACAAATGATATGTATATATACATATATGTGCATGTATCTTGAAAAATTTACCCAGAACATTATTACTTGATTTTCCAAACAGCTTCAAATAATGCTAATCAAGAACATGGAATTAACTCAATCCTACTATACATTTTAATTTTAAGGTCTTCAGTTAAAACTCATTACTCTTACCGACATGGGCTTGAACCCAGGGACTCAAGGAAGCTGGGCAAGTGTTTTCCACTTTAGCCCCAACCCTTGCCCTTTTGTTTGTATTTTGTTTTTGAGACAGGGTCTCCCTAACTTTGCCAGGGTTGGCCTTGAACTTGGGTCCTCAGTCCTTTGCCTTGAGAGGAGCTAGAATTATAGGCGTATACCACAACATACAGCTTGTGATTCTTTTCCAGTTTATCAGAACTAACTACAACTTCTCATTACTTCCTTCATCACACACAAAAATGTCACTGCAATAATAATTTTCTAGTGCAAAAGTAATAAGTGCATTTCTCTTCATTTTCTAAAATTAGGAAATTTGGTATTTCATCAGAAAATTTTCATATTAAAATTATTTCACTTCATTTATATATTAATTACTTTTCAGTTCCCATTACCATAATAAATAAACTTAGAGATCTTGCCTATCAGAATCTAAAATATACGATACCTTCAACATTATTGTCTTTATTCACTGAAGATGTTGTTACCTGAAAGGTAAGAACAGGAAAAAAAAAGTCTTAAATTATATTTGAATGTGAAAAGTGAAACCAAAAATAATTTCTTCATGAAATTATAAAACAAAGTTGACATCTCAATTCCTTAATCTGAAAAAAAACATTCCTCTTTACCTTTTATTATTGCTCCTTCTTTCCCACAAAGAAATCACAGAGTCAAGTGAAAGAGCGCATGCGCAAGTATTTCTCAATAAAAACTCATGGGAACCACTAAGAGCTGGGAACTCAGAATAGGAAGTTTCCTTTCTGTTGTTTCCAAGGCTGAAGTGTTAGGAATGAAAAATCAAACATATACACATGCAAACACATGTGCATGTGGTGCATGAAGATGCTACATATAATATTTAGTTGTATTCCAGAGATGTGAACTTGCCTGTTTTGGTTTATTATGGTGGTAGCCACGGGTAAAGAGTCTTAGAATAGAGAAAATACAGTCTACAGTACACACATCTGAAAGATTTTCCTGAGATAGAAGACTTTTAAAGTTAACAACAATATCTTTATTTATTTTTGTTGGCCATGGACTTGAACTCTGGGCCTGGACGCAGTCCCTGAGCTCTTCAGCTCAAGGTGAATGCTCTACCGCTTGAGTCACAGTGCCACTGTGGTTAACTGGAGATAAGAGTCTCACAAACTTTCCTGCCTGGGCTGGCTTTGAACCTCGATCCTCATATCTCAGCCTCCTGAGCAGGCAAGAGCCATCAGCGCCTGGCCTCTATTTTTATTTTAATGTATTAACAGGGGAAACCAATATTCATAGAGAAAGCATAAATCCTGTTATGTAGTTTAATAAATCATTAGAATGATTATATAACTTTTCAGTTCATTACATATTAACTGATCCCTGTGAAGAGGCAGAACATGCCAACTACATGCACTTAAAACCGCTTCTTTTTTATAACAAAAGACTTTCCAGATTCAAATTTAATAATTAGTTTCTAATTCCCTAAATGTGTCCATCCTTACTATGAAAGACCTGTCTCTGACATTTGAGGTTCAGAACAGACACAAATGTCAGACAACAAACCATACACATAAACATTTAACAGTTAAAATAGCCCAAGCTAGCAAAGTAAACAATAGGATATAAAAATGTATCCTGCCCAGTTACCTTGTATGACCTTTATTTTTTTATGACATGAGAGCTCCATTTACAATTCTAGACACCTTAGAGGCTTGTGACTTGACCTGGTAGAGTAAGGAAAGGGAAAGGCACATGGCCCTGCTCTGTCTCCCTCTTACGCAGGCAGAAATTCCAGGTGGCACACCTGTGCCTGTTTTACCTCCAAATGGCCACTCACTGGCCCCTGCAGAAATGGTGGGCACACAGCCCACACAGTCAGAAATAAGATCTGGGAAGATGTTTGGGTTAGGGAGATGTAGGGCCTGGTTTCCAAGAGGCCCTGGAAACAAGACTCAAGCTGTCTGGGAAAAAAAAAAAAAAAGAATTCCACAGTCTTGGGAAGTCAAAACATACCTAGAATAAGGACCCTCGGTAAGTCCATAACTTTGGTCCCTTAGTCTTCTTGCTCTATGAAAAAGGGATGTAACTTTTCAAAGTAGGACACTGGAAAAGCAGACCAGAGGTAGGACTCTCCTTGCTTTGGATAAGAAACCCAGTGAAAATGAAATTTTAATTTCTTCAAAATTAAAGTATTTTTCTCACAAATTCATGAGTAGAATTGGAGTGAGTTCTTAATACAAAGTTAACATCTAAATCAGCAAACTCTGAGTAAAGCAAACTGCTTTCCATATGTGGGTGGATGACATAGGTGGACCTCCTCCTTTCCTATCAGTGGAAGCCTGAATAGACAAAAAACCAAAAACCTTACTCTCTTAAATTCTCCAGTAAGGTGTTTACAGACTTTGCACAAATGACTCTCCTAGGTCTCTAAGCTAACTAGAACTGCTATCAACTGCAGATTTGGAACAGTGTCATAATCCTATGAGCCAATCTCTGACAATAAGCCTTTTCTTTTTTGTCAGTCCTGGGTCTTGAACTCTGGGCCTGGGCGCTGTCCCTGAGCTCTTTTCAGCTCAAGGCGAGTGCTCTACCCGTAAGCCACAGTGCCTCTTCCAGTTTTCTGATGACCTATTAGAGATAAGAGTCTCACGGACCTTCCTGCCCAGGCTGGCTTTGAACTGTCTCAGATCTCAGCCTCCTGAGTAGCTAGGATTACAGGTGTGAGCCAACCACAGGTGCCCTGGCGACAAATAAACCTTTTTATATGCACAGTCATCTGTTGTTTAACAGATATAATTTCTGAGAAACATCAAGAAGACAGTAGTATAACAACAAAAAGCAAATAAAGCTATTGAAATTAAATCTAATGCAGATTATTTCTCCTTCACTCAACTCTCCAGTGGTTTTGCACTTTATTCAGAAAAAGAAACATGATCTTGACAGCATCTTTCCTAATTTGCCTCCACCTCTACCCTTAGATCCAAACATTTCCTGTCTCGGGCTGGGAAGATGGCTCAGTGGTAGAGCGCTTGCCTTGCATGCCTGAGGCCCTGGGTTTGATTCCTCAGCACCACATAAGCAAAAAGAAAAAAGCCGGAAGTGGCGCTGTGGCTCAAGTGGTAGAGCGCACTAGCCTTGAGCTGAGGGACAGCGCCCAGGCCCAGAGTTCAGGCCCCACGACCGGACCCAAAAAAAAAAAAAAAAAAAAACATTTCCTGTCTCATTTCCTTTCTCCGCACACTCTGTCTTCCAGGAGTTAGTGTAGTCATTTTGACTACTTCCTGAACTGTATATAAGGCATCTTCCTGCCTCATGGCCAAAGTCTGCAATGCTCTTTCTTCAGATGGCTACTTGGCTCATTGCTTTATCTTCTACAATTCTGAGATCAAATTGAAGTTCTCTTCTCACAGGCTGTCTGTGACCACCTTTTAAATAACTACAATTCCTAGGAACTTTGGCCCCTCTCCCTGCTCCCTTTTTATAACAGCATTTATGGTGTACTGACATGTTATGTCTTTTACTTACATATTTATTATACAAGTATCTAACTAAAACCTCACCTCCATCTCCACAAATAAAATCTCATCTTCATGAAGCAGAGGGTTTTTTTTCATCTTTAATACTGCATCCTCATCTTTAATACTCATCCTCAGCAAGGAACTCTTACCACATAGCAAACCCTAATTAAATAGCTGATGAATTAGTAGAAAATAAAACCCTCAACAAATTAAAAGCAGCCATCACAAGCAAATAACATTTAGGAACATTTTAGTTGATCCTAAAGACCTAAATTCATTAGTTTCTAGTTCATAATTAGTTTTTAAAAGCCCTTAATTTATAAATAAGGTTTCAATTCTAAGATCCCTGCTGAGTGTTTCCTTAGATGCCTACACTACTTAATTATCTGAATTGTAATTTTTCAATTTAGTATTCTCCAAATTAGGCATTAATTTACTAATAAGTTCAGTTGCCTTTATGCAGCATTGTCAGTGGGACACGTAAAAATTCATGGATGTCTTCTTGGCTTGGAGAACACTGTGAGATAGGTGAACTAAATGGAAATGAAAAGGGTACTGTTGTAGGAAAAAACTGGGAGAGAGCAAAGAGGTGACACTGTCTAAAAAGCAATGTACTTTTTACCTTACTTATATAACGGTAAGCCCTCTGAACATCACCCCTGCAATTTTTTTTTTTAAGAAAAGGGCACTCTTATCTGTTTTATTTCCTTCATTTTCCTTTAGCCAACATGTATCAGCCCCAAGAACCTGTTCCCACACAGGAACTACATGACATATTACTCACAGAAATATATAAACAATAATGAGCTCCTGATGCCTAGAAACATTTGAAAATGCTACTTAAAAATGGAAAAAAACTCAACGAAAAGTTTTTAAAGTTTTTGTTTTAAGTTCCAAGAATTAAGGTTGGAGGTGTGGTTCAGAAGAAATAACCCCGCAAAATTATTCCCTGAATTAAAGAAGGATGAGAACTTTTTCTTTTTTTAACATTCTGCTTTCCAAAACAGCTAGAAAAATTTCATTGCTATGTATTTCAACATTTCCATGAGACTTCCCAAGACACTTATTTAATTAATGGGTGCAGTAGATACTTGCTCCTTACCGACTCAACTAATGATCTTGCTTCCTCTTGGGTGCAATGGAAAGGGCTATCACACACCTGCACATTTGTGCTGCACAACAAAAGAGAACATGTTAATACAATGCAAAAGGTGCAATCACCAAAGAAGAACCAACTCCAAATACTCCACCTTGCCTGTATAATTTCAGCCAATGAACAGGAGCTGAATGGACATAAATCAATACAACTAAAGTAACACTGTACTGTCTAGAATAAAAAAGATTTCAAATAATATATAAATTCTAATAATTACCTAGGGTGTATATAAATCTATACAACTCCAATTCACTTATATTACAGAAAAGTAAAAGTGAACCCATAGCATGGGAGAAATTTTCCTCTATGTGATCAATATTTTAACTAGCAATGGAAGTAGATTCTCTTTGTCAGACAGACAGGTAAGATTAAAGATAACAGGATACTAAATGAAGGTAAAAACTGTTAGACAACTAACTATACAGCAGTTTGGGAAGACAGAAAACCTCATCAGCCAGGATCAGTGAAGTCCAGACCTTTCCTATTTTGCCTCAAGCTGGCTACTGCCACACAAGGTTTGCTTCTAGATTAACCAAGAGGTACCATTTTCCCACAGTTACCAAGGCTGAACTTTCAAAATTTCATTAAAGAAATTGGCAGATTAAAATGGATATAGGAAAAAGCAACACAGAGAGGAGTTAAGGCCAAAGGGATTGCCAGTGATTGTCTACTAAAGGAGATAAGTAGGCAAAACACAAACATATTTCTCCTTAGTTGGACCTGGAGGACATTCATTATCAAATTTATCTCCACAACTTCTTTGTGAAATACGTGTGTGAGGGGGATCTGTGATAAGGATACCTACCTATTTATTTATTTTGTAAACTGTATCTGTCTATAATTGACAACAGTGATTACAGTGTTCATTTAGGGTTCCATCCAGACTCATAATGGGAAACATTTTCATTCTCAGCATGAATAAAACTAGAACCTTACTACTTGTAGCTGCAGGATGGCCTTGAACTTCAGACCCTCTTGCCTTAGCCTCCTGTGTGCTATCATTATTAGAATGCATCATCATGTTTGGTTCAGCAAGAATAAAATTTGATCTAAGTTGGCAATACCATCTTTAAACTATATCTTTTTGTATTCTATTTTCCACAGCTCATTTAAAAGCAATTTGAAAACTGAAAAAGGTATGACCTTGTAATTCAGATGTTATCCCAAGGAAATATAATAACAATAAATAGATCCAGGCCCCCTAAAAATAGATACTGCAAAGTCTTAATGCTAGCTCTCTGGAGAAAGCATGGTGTACCTTGCATGCATGAGGCCATGGGTTTGATTCCTCAGCACCAACATACACAGAAAAAGCCAGCAGTGGGCACTGTGGCTCAAGTGGTAGAGTGCTAGCCTTGAGCTGAAGAGCTGAGGGACAGGGCCCAGGCCCAGAGTTCAGGTCCCATGATCGGCAAAAAAAAAAAAAAGAAAAAAAAAAGAAAGCATGGTGTACACTAAATATGTTTTTAATATTATAACTCAAACAAATGCCTTCTGTGTTAATTCTTAGAAAATGGTGGTGAGAAATACGGAAGGTGGGGTGTTATCTTTCCCTATATAAAACTGTCAGAAAAAAAAGGGAGAATACCCAATTAAATTTGAATTTCCAGATAAACTTTTTGTTGTTGTTGTTGGTTGTGGGGCTTGGGGCTTGAACTCAGGGCCTGGTCACTGTCCTTGAGCCTTTTTGTGCTCAAGGCTAGCATTTTACCACTTAAGCCACAGCGCCACTTCCAGTTTTTGAGTGGTTGATTAGAGATAGGAGTCTCACGGGGTCTTTTCTGGCTAGACTGGCTTCAAACTGTGATCTTCAGATATCAGCCTGCTGAGTAGCTAGGATTACAGGCATGAGCCACCAGTACCTGGCCAGATAAACTTTTTTAAGTCTAAGTATGTCCCAAGTATTGAGAGGAACATACTTTTCTGGATGCTGGGATACAACATTAACCCGTGGAACTCATAATCAACAGGATTCTTCAGCTCTCAAACTTTGCTCCTAGCCTTCAGGAGGAAAAACAGTAGAGTCATAGGGGGAGAAGGAAAGAAGGAGGGAAAGGAGGAGGATGTTCGTTCCTACTATAAATCAGATTAAATCAATTAAAAAGAATGTGCTTTCTTTGGTGTAGTTAGATACTTAATCTTCAGTCCTAAAATTCTAAATGCCCAGGGCTGAAGAAACAGAACAGTTTATAAACATTACATATAAACATATATAAACATTACATATAAGCATTACATATGTTTATGTACATATGCGCAACTTTTCTGGCCAAACTAAGCAGACATGACATTACAGCAAAGAATTAGCAATATAAAAAATGTACAACAAGCCCAAACTGAATTTAAAGGTAATTAAAAGAAATTAATTTATAAAATAACTGATCGAATATAAAGAAATAGAAATAGATGATTACCTGAAAACAACAAAACAGATAAAAAGGATGAAACTGAAAGGTCCAGTAACATGGAACTTTAGTAAATGGAAAATTATTTCTTCAAGTCAGTCTCCAATCAAAGGCCCCATTCATGAGATTCCCAAAAACAATGGCCAGGATACAGATTTATAGACTTACCAAGGTTTCCCACTCTAGATCAAATAGTTAAGAACAAAGGAGAGAAAAATACAAGGAGCTAAGACTGACAATGATTCTGGATAAACATAATAGTTTATAGAAGGAAGTAGCACGGGCGAATGTTCACAAAGCTAAGTAGAACTGCAGCTTCCAGTACATAAAAGTACTTGCCACAAATTACATCCATCTTTATTCCAGAAAGCAAAAAAGAAATAATTTCAACACTTAATTTGAATTGAATATATATTCCTTACTCAATAAGCATGTAGACATGAGCTTATGTGTCAAATCCTATTTACATATAATGTGCTATGATAAAGACCTAACACAGAGCATGAAAACATGCAAAGGAGTATATAGCAGCAATGTGAAGTGTGCAGAGATGATGTTTGGACTTCCTCTTGAAGAGCAGAAGTTCATCAACGAAACAGAGGGATAGGAGACAGAATATGAGGCTTGTGCATTGTTTAGGAGATTATTTCAATCCTGAATTGAAGGAGTTGCATTAGGCCTAAAAAAATTCTGAATTTAATGTACAGAATATATTAAATAAGAGAATGGATGTTAACAAAATACTGTGAGTAAAGAACTTATGAGTTACTGTAGAAGGATATTCAAAAGTCAATCACAACTTGAAAAACTTGAAAGACAGAAGGGCCAAAATAAATAATGTGAGAAGCCAGAGTACATTTCTGGTTTCTTAAAATCAGAAAGCTGTATTTGAAGAGAAGGTGAGAGAGGCTGAAAGGGAAATACTTATGTCATAAAATTTTATTTCTCCTGTAACAGAATATATATTATATATTTATTTATAAGTATACTTATTTCTCCTATAACAGAAAACTAAAAGTTTTCTCAGGTGAGAATAGAAATAATGAAAATTCTCTGTTCCAAGAATATACAGCTTTCAGAGTACATATTACCACCGGTAAAAAGTTACTTTCAGAGAACGACTCAAAGTATCAATGAAAAATGCAGCAGTCCCAGAAACAAAAGTCATAACTTGGATTAAAAAAGTAGCAGAGGGGCTGGGAATGTGAGGCTCAGTGGTAGAGTGCTTGCCTAGTATGCATGAAGCCCTGGGTTGGATTCCTCTGTACCACATAAACAGAAAAGGCCGGAAGTGGCGCTGTGACTCAAGTGGTAGAGTGCTAGCAAAAGAAACTTAGGAACAGTATCCAGGTCCTGAGTGCAAGCCCCAGAACTGGCAAAAACAATAAAAATTTATAATTCTTTCCAAGTCTTTCCATTCCCTAACAAATGGGGCAATGTCATTCTTTCTGATGGAGGCATAGAATTCCATTGTGTATATATACCACATTTTCTTGATCCATTCATCTACTGAGGGGCATCTGGGTTGGTTCCATATCTTAGCTATGGTAAGAATTATATTAAGTAAAGTAAGCCAGACCCAAAGAAACATAGGTCCCATGGTTTCCCTTATTTGCAATAACTAATACAAGTGTAGGACAAGCAGAAAAGGCCAAAAGCAACGTACGTATGACCATAAGATGATGCTAAATGAACCCTAAGATAGCAACACAAATGTCTTTTTTTCCTTCTTGCTATTGTATTTATAATGTATCATGTGATTTTTTTTTGTTGCTTTGTATGTTCCTTCCCCACGGTATAACCCCTATTTTCACTGTATTTGATGTTGGTGCCCTTCATCTTTTATATACACTTCTCTAATTCAGGGAGAGGAAGGGAAAAAAACAAAATACTTAAAGAAGGATACAGGTTGACCCATTGTAACAATGAGATGTACAAAACACTATGTTGAAAATGAACTTTACAACTTCGGTGGGAGGTAGTTGTGGAGATGGGATGGAGGGGATGGTAGGGGGAAAACGAAGGAGGAAGCAACCAATGCTCAAGAGGAAATGTATTCATTACCTTGCTCATGTTACTGTAACCCCTCTGTACAACATTTTATAATAAAAACGTGCAAAAAAAAGTAGAAGATATTTTTAGGCTTTAAAATACTATTCAATAGTTAACTGCACTAGATGTCTATTGGTGAGTCCAAGATCTTTAGGAATTTTTTCTAAAGAAGGATCTAGATGAAGTCTTAAAGGACAAATTAGCTCATTCAAAAATGAGAACATCATTGAAGCAAAGATGACAAAAGAACACCGGCCTAGCGCATAAAGGGTATGGACTTTGTAGGAATCCTTGCTGTAGCCCAAAGTAGAAGCAGGAAGTGATAGAAACGAGGCTAGCAAGGTAATGAGACGGGACCTTGGAAGGTCTTGTTTGATCTCTCATGAAAAGTTTAGATTTCTTAGTTCTTAAGTAGAAACTCATCAGAAATATGTCTGGAGTTAAAATCATACCTGGCTTAGATACCACTTCCCCAGAGATCCTAATAAATATTCAGAGGAGACACTGCACCTGAACTTTCCAATGCTTCCCTAAGTCATTCTGAAGTGGTCTGGATACAAGGATTGAGAGAATGGCTGTAGTGAAGAGCGTGGATCTAACCTACACTGCACAAAGAAAACGGGTGAGGAGGGGACCAGGAAGGAAAGGAGGCTTGCTCCTTCAGCAACAGTACACTGCAAGAGGAAGGCTGCTCATTACACAAAGGCAAAAGAAGTAACTACTTTACAAATTAAGTACTAATAAAAAGAGTGGATAAAACATTAAAATTCCCATGCTTTTCACTTTAAGTGCTTACAACTTATATCAAAATTCATTTTTTTTGTATGTGCTGGTACTGGGGACTTGAACTCAGGGCCTCATGCTCTCATTTGACTTTTTGGCTGAAGGTTGGCACTCTACCAACTAAGCCATACCTCCAATTCTAGCTTTTTGATAATTAATAGGCGGTAAGAGTCTTGTGGATGTTCTTGTCCAGGCTGACCTCAAACCACAATCCTCAAATCTCAGCCTCGTGAGTAGCTAGTATTACAGGTGTGAGCCACCAGCATCTGGCTTACTGCCTCAAAATTCTTAAGTTAAAATTCTGTTGGGGGTTGGGAGCATGGTTAAGTTGGTAGAGCATTAGGTAATGGGCAGAAGCATTGGGTACCAAGTTGGAGTCCCAGTTGTGAGATATGTAGATATGTAGACAAGGTAACAGAATGTTGGTGTGACTACACTTGAATCTGAATTCCCCCTCCACGCCCAAGCCTGTGCGCTGCAAGTCTGGTCTCCAGTGTGGTGGTGATGAGATGCTGGAAGCTTTCAGGTAGAGCCTACTGGGGGGATGATTGGGTCATGACTGTCCTCTTGAGATTAATGCAGGTCTCACCAGAGTGGATTAATACCAACTGTTATAAAAGATGGAGGCCAGTCCCTTCCAAGGCTCAGGTCTTGAGTCACCTCTTCATGTGCTTCTACTGTGTGATGCCGTCTGCCATTAAGCCTTTTCCACAGGTAAATAGATGCTAAGCCCTCTACACTGTAAGCCAAAAAACTTCTTTTCTTGACACACTACCCAGCTTCAGATACTTTGTCATAGCAATACAGACAAAGACAACTGCTAAGATAGGTTTGGAATTTGGGTTTAAATACTCTACTGAGTGAATATGTTATTAAATCTCATGTAGTTTCAATTTACTACTGTGTAAGTGGAGAGTGTAACGTATTTTATCTTGAAATTAATGGAAGAAAACATATAAGACACTCAAGTTCTGGAACAGTATAACGGTCAATAAATGTCACTTTTATTGTAATGCAATCCCTAGATGGGCTACTGCAAAAACACGTCATAACTTAGAACTAAAGTTCCCTTCAGAGTAAAGATAAGTAGAAGAATCAGCACAGAAGGAATGACAGCAGACTGTGGATAACTGGGAAACAATGGGATCACATGGGGGAAGCTAGAACTCTTTAGGAAGTATAGCTGTGTGCTAATGAGTGAGTTCCTTCCATTTCTTCTGATTCAGAGGGGCCATGATGTTGGGGGCTCTGCTCCCCAGGTTTACTATGTGACTTTGCTTCACCAAAAGTCACTTATGTCAGTTGTAGTTATTACTATAATTTTACAATATAAGTAGTAATCACTCTTACTAATAAAAGGAATGTGGTAAGAAAAATGCTACATGTAAATCTCACAACTAGGAAGTCTGTAAACAATACCAAGGCTCTATAAAGTCTCAATAGAGGTAGTAAACTGCTAGGTGCTAAGGTTTCTTTTGTTGATGGTACTAGGATTGGAAACTGAAGACCTTTTGCTTCCTGGTCAAATGCTCTATCACTTGAGCCAATCTCCCAGCCCTTGGTTTGCTTCAGTTATTACTTGAAGATCGACATGTTTTTGCCCAGGCTGACCTAAATCACAAGCCTCTTATTCCTATTTCCCATGTAATAGAAATGACAGGCATACACCACCATGCTAAGCTTACTGGATTTGATTATGAGGAACTCACTAAATTTCTGCCTGGGCTACTCTGAAACCTTGCCCTTCTCATCTCTACCTCTCCAGTAGCTGGGATTACAGTTATAAGCAACTGCTCTCATTCTGTAACAGTTTTTAAGTTGTAAGGTATTTAAAGATTATAAAAATCTTTATTTTCTATTCTGCTTTAGTTGGTGTATGTATAGAAAAATCTACATGGGATCTGTACAGAAAAGACCTGAGCCCTGCATCCAATGACTGGTAAATAAATATATTAAATGTTTAAAATAAATGTTTAAGTTATGTATGCTACATGTTACTACCGTTTGACGACTCTTAATAAGCTAATAATCCGATCATGTTGACAAGACTTACTAAGAAATGATGTGGTGGGTGTGTTGGGAAGAATGGGGAGAATGATGAAAGGGATGACATCAATCAAGATGCACTGAACTCATAAACTGACCTGCTGAATGGTAACTCCTCTGTACAACGACTTAAAAACAATTTTAAAAAGTGTGTTAGTTGTTAGACTATTACTACTATATTTTCAAAGGTTGAAAAGTTGCAATTTTTTACTGTATGTCTGCACATATCATTGTATTACAATCAAATGCCTAATTTGCTTGTCAGTGTCTCAATAAAACCTAAATTCCTTGAAGAAGGGGACAATGGCAATTCCTAGCTTCACAGAGCAGAACTCTAACACCCACTGCATAGATGTTTTATACTTTTTAAATGAAAAATAATTGAAATTAACGTAGAAAAGGCAATTTTGGGGAGTTCAAGTGGTAGAACACCTGCCTGATAAATGCAAGGCTCTAAGTTCAAATACAAGTACTGCCAAAAAGAAAAAAAGACCCCCAAACAAAAACTGTAATCCTAGTTACTCAATAGGCCTAGATCTGAGAATCATGGTTCAAAGCCAGTCTCAGCAGTCCATGAGAATCTTATCTCTAATCAAAAAGCTGACAGTAGAGCTGTGGCTCAAGTGGTAGAACACTAGCCTTAAGTGAAAAAGCTAAGGGACAGCTCCCAGGACCTGAGTTCAAGCTCCAGTACTGGCACAAACAAAAAGACAAATTCTTACCATTTTATAGCTCCTCCATCGCACTTCTTCATAAGTAATGCTTTCCAACATTCATGAGCAGATTTAATAACTTCAAGAGCAAAAGCCTAGGTTCAACCAAGAATAGACATAGCAATCACATTGTTATGTTAACCCAGAACTAATCTCACTATAACACTGTTACATGAGCAGGAGCGCCAGAACCAGGGTAACTTGAGTATAAACCTGGCTTCCTTACTTACCAACGTTAACAACTCTAGGGGTAGTCTTACTGTCACTAAGTCTCAGTTCCCTCACTAACTAAATGAGAACAATGGAAATAAGTCTGTTTCAGGGGCTGGCAAACTAGTGCCTGTGGATTACATCAGCCCTGGTAGCTGTTAGCTTGTGCTGCTTTAATAAATACTACAATGACAGAGTTCAGTGTTGTGACTAAATTATAGAGTCTAGAAAGCCTAAAAAAGTAACCATATGATCCTATATGGAAATAGTTTGCCAGTCCCTGACCTTAACTATAGAACTGAACAAAGGCTAAAGATGCTGTATGTGAAGTGCTAAGCTTAGCTCCAATACTCTTGGATTCTGAAATATAATATAATCAGAAATTTAACCTTTAAAATAAAAGTTCTCTCAGGGTTACTATTGGCTAAAATAACAGAGAACAGTTTAATTTTCAATGAAGCAGTGCTGGAAAATCTTGCTTAAGATATAACACAAGGAAAATAATTTATTGTCTGGATCATACAAGAAAAAACTGTTAGCCAAATATGTTCTGTTAACTGTGAGTACTTGGAAGCCATTCTAGAACTTGCTTAAGGAGCTAGGAGAAAAATACCAGAATAGAAAAAAAAGGAAAGTCATCCTTTCAATTATGCTAAAGAAGCACAATTAATTTTTTTTAAGTTTGACTCCTTGTTTTTGTGGTGGTCTTGGGCACTGTTCCTGAGCTTTTTTTTTTGGTCCGGTCGTGGGGCCTGAACTCTGGGCCTGGGCTCTGTCCCTCAGCTCTTCAGCTCAAGGCTAGCACTCAACCACTTGAGCCTCAGCACCACTTCTGGCTTTTTTCTTTTTTGCTTATGTGGTACTGAGGAATTTAACCCAGGGCCTCAGGCATGAAAGGCAAGCGCTCTACCACTGAGCCACCTTCCCAGCCCCTTTTTTTCCTCTTTGCTCAAGATCAGTACCCTACTACTTGAGCCACAGCTTCACTCCAGGTTTTTGCTAGTCAGTTGGAGATGACTCTCAGATTTTCGGTCTAGGCTGGCATCAAACCGTGATCCTTAGATCTCAGCCTCCTGAGTACTTAGATTTACAGGCGTGAGCCACCACCAGCACCTTGTAGGCTCTATGTTTTAAACTTTGCAATAAAGAGCAATGTATAGAATGATTATATTCTGAAGGAGTTATAAAAATGACCCAGTTTTCAGACAGAGACGTTTCATGACATGACAGAACTACCCTAAGGCAATAAAGGGACATGAAAATATGTATTTAGAGGAATTAGATAAAAATAATTTATTATACAAATTTCCAATATTTAATTCTAAAAAGAATGCAGTCTAAAATAAAAAGTTTTATGTTTATACTTAATAATCTTAAAGAAGCTGACATTAAGGGTTCATTTAAGGCGTCTCTCAAAAACTACAAGGTCCAGCTATCAACTTATATACATTCTTATATCATCTAATCTAAATTTTAAGTTTTCATTACTGTATCTTATTTCACTTGTAAAATGTATTTTATTTACTAGTACCAATTTAGAAGTTTGTAGATAATTGGCACTTTCTGTAACAATCTGAAAAACTGACTTCATGGTCTGTTTTCTCCATTAGTAACACATCAGAGACAATTTATGGTAACTTGGCATTCTAATAGAAAAATCCTATGACAGTAAGGGAACTCAGGCTTCTTAATTACTGAGTAGTTCATTTTAGGTCAGGGTGAACAGTCAGGAAGGAGGCCTCTATGGAATTAGATTAAGGACAAGTATCTTTCTCCTCAAAAGAGTAAAGGAAGGGTTTTTCTTCATAGACAATTTGCAAAGTTAAACTGACCATGGAATTCTTTTGTTTTCTGAAAAAGTGAACAAGTTTTATATGAGGTGACTCACATAGATATTTCTTAGCCTCTTGAATTTACTTAGCTCTCCTGAATGTCTTTAAATACTCAAATCAATAATAAAGCACTTTTGTCATTACGCTTATACAACCATTCACATAAAAAATAACCCAAGTGAAAGTATTTGTGCATACAGCAGAAAGTACATTTTAAAATAATAATTCTTATGTTTACCTTGTTTTTGAATTCTCCATTAAAAGCAAACTTGTTTTCTGCTTTTCCTTCTGGTACTTTATAAAATCTGAGCCAATTCAGAGTAGCTTCTAAATAACCTGGTTTGAACGTCTCTACATCATCAATATCTGTAAGGAAAGAAACAAAAAAAAGACATTTTGTTAAAAACCAAACTTCATTTCATTTAGTGGTAGGTATCAAGACTACAAGAGCAAGAAAACAGTTCTCCTCCAGTAAGATCATAATCAGTTATGCCAACTGGCTACATTTGATGGGTAGATCGCTCTAGACTTCCCTTTTCCACATGTAAGATACTGTTTCTTCATTCTACATATATAGAGCACCTTCAAACATGGTAGTGTTTGGGTATAAAGAGTTAGTGGATATATATAATAAATATATTTCCCTTTGCTCAGATGTTCCGAGGCCTAGTGATGGGAAATGGACAGACAAGAGAACAAAGTGCAAATGAAGTGCAATAGGCTTAAACATATATGCCAAGGATGTCATACAAGAAGGAAAGAAAACACGAAAACTGGGAGGCACAAGGGCCAATCAGACAAGGGGAAAGGTAGAAAGAATATCGTATGAAAGCAAGTGTGTGTACTAACAGGACCTGGCTGTTAGGAGGAAGTAGGGAAGGAGAGATACCAAGAAGGGCTGGTCACTGAGAAACACATATATTTTGCTAAGGAATCAAGAACACTTTACAGGCATCAGAGGGGTTAAGCCAGTGAAAGCTACAACATCAGGACCGTGTTTTAAAAATATGACCCGGAGGGCTGGGAAGGTGGCTCAGTGGTAGAGTGCTTGCCTTGCATGCATGAGGCCCTGGGTTCGATTCCTCAGCACCACATAAGGAAAAAGAAAAAAGCTGGAAGTAGCGCTGTGGTTTAAGTGGTAGAGCACTAGCCTTGAGCTGAAGAGCTGAGGGACAGAGCCCAGGCCCAGAGTTCAGGCCCCACGACCGGACCCCCCCATAAAAAATGTATGACCTGGAAAGAAAGTTAGCCAAGGATGAGGCATACCCAGATGAGAACACATTAAAGCTGGATATGAATGCATTTTTATCCAGATATTTATTAGGTTCTAACTATGTGTCAGTCTCTTTCCCAAGTAAGAGTGCTCTAGCTAGCACAAAGCCCACATCTTTGTTAGCTTCATCAAGCATCATGTGTTTATTCCCAAGGCACTTATGTTTGCATTTTTGTTATATAATTATATTACTTATATTAAGTAAACCAATGGCATTATCAACACAAGAGTTCTGAGGCCAGGGGGGCATGACTCAAGTAGTTAGAGAACTTACATAGCAAATACAAATACAAATACCAGCCTTCCTCGCCCTCCTGCCCACCCCCCCCCCAAAAAAAAAAAAAAGTCCTGGTTTCTGTGAAATTAACTTTGAATGTTTTAAAATAATTCAGTAAAACTAGGGGCAAAAAACATTTGCTATCAAATTAGGATTGGGTAGAAAAACAGGAAAGCAACAGTATTCTACAACACAGGTAGAGCGCTTTTATAAGTGGAGGAGGAGGAGGAGAAATTTAGACAGAGAGGTCACATCTGATAAAATACAGTTTAGTAGACTCTTGAAGTATGAGACTTTTTAAAAGAGTGTATTCCAGGAAGGAAGACAGTGCAAATACTCTGAGCTAAGATTGTGCTTTTGATGAGTAAAAGTCCTGAGGCTACAGCAGAGTGAAGAAAGAGGGCCTGTGAGAAGAGCGCACAGAAGCAGACCCACGCGAGTCACATGGGAGTCCTGGGTCCACACCAGCCACTATTGGCTTTAAGAAGTCTGTGCTTTAGGGCACACTCTCCAACTGCCTTGTGGAGAAAGGATTACTATGTAGTCAAGGAAAAGTGTAGCAAGAGATCTAGTTTATAACACTAATGAAACCCTTTAAAAAAATCTGGAATGGGATGGATATATGTGAGATCGATCGATCTATCTATCTATCTATCTATCTATCTATCTATCTATCTATCTATCTATCTATCTATCTATCTATCTATCTATCCATCCATCCATCCATCCATCCATCCTACCTAACTGCCTACCTACTTATCTTCAATCTCTATATATTTGATGACTGCTCTTGGTTTTAGTACATGATTTTTTTTTTGGGGGGGGGGGCACTATTGAGGTTTAAACTCAGTGCCCCTAACTTGCTAGGTGGACATTTTACCACTTAAGTCACATCTCCAGACCTTCTTTTAGGCTTCCTATGATTTAGATTTCTTAATATTACAGACTTGTCCCTCTCAGTTCTTTGACACTTTGAAACTTATATAAGTTTTTACTGGTTGTCCTTTTTTAATGATAATTCTTAGTTCTTTCTAAAAGTGTCCCAAATCTGATCATCTGGCATCATCTGCCACAGTTCCACTATGGTTGTCATTAAATTGACTCCAAATAAATTGAAAAACAATTTTTTATTATAATTATGGAGACTGAACTCAGGGTTTCCCTGCACATGTTATACAGGTACTCTAAAAAACAATTTTTAATTAATTTATTATTTAATGATATTTATTTTTAGCCCTAATATTATTATAAATTAATTCTTAACAATTATTTCTTTCCCAGAATTTTTGAATTAGATGTAAATAACTACTGTGGGAAAGGGCTACATATATGTAAAATTATTTAAAAGCACATGAAAATATTTAGTTTTAAAATGAGACTTAAATTAATCAAATTATCAGCAATCAAAAATACTTTCAGCACCAACCCTTCAGGTTAGCTCACAGTAAAATAGGTAACATGAAAAAAAGAAATTCAAAAAGACAAAAATCATGAGCGCTGTCCCCAGCTCTGAAAAGAGTAGAAAATGGAAACAAGCAAATTCAACTTATGTGAAATCAAACACACTTCACAGAATCAAACAGAATGGTGTAAATGAAAGAAGGGTTTGGTAACTAACCAATCATGTTTGTCTCATAGTCAAGACACTATGAAAGGTAGTATTTGGACTGATTCTCAAAAGAAAGGAAGGTGTTTTCAGTTAGGCAGATACTTCAGAGGCAAACGTATCTGTAAAGCTAGTGAGGTGAGCCTGCATTTCTGGGGAGAGGAGAAACTAATGTGCTGTGACCCCTGTTACATAGTGTGAATGTTTAGAAAAACTGGTAGGAGAAGATTACTAAAACATTTAGCAACTTAAAAGAGAATTTACATTTTTTTGTAAAGAATAAGAAGTCAGAAGATTCCCAACATTCTTTTAAAGTAAGATTTTTTTAAAAATCAGGTAAGTTTGGTAAATTGCAAAGTAAATTTAGTTATAGGAAGCTTAGAGCAGAGAAATGTTACCACTATTTTAATGGAAAAGTAACAAGCGTTAGTATAAGAGACCAGAGAGAAGATCTGAAAGGTATCTTTCAGATTATCTGAGGTCAGATAATTTGATGACAGATTGTATGATGCGTTAGATTGCTAGTGACTTAGGAAGACCATTCATGACAGATGATAAAGTTTAGAATGTTACCATGTATAAAGGAGGTATGTACACGACTCTAAAAATATTAAAATTAAAAACACTACAGTTTCAAGTATAAACAAATGGTTTCTTGCTTTGAAAGAAGTGAAAATGTATCTAGTTAGAAGGTATTTTCAAACTTTACTGAAAATGTTCATTTTTGTTAAAATACAATTGCATGCTTTTACATATTCACCAACTGTCCCTAATACTAGTGCCCATGTTGAACACTATACAAAATCACCAGGGAATGTTTTTAAACCATGTAATTCACATTTGTAACTTCACCATCCATTTCCACAAACTGAAAATCACCTGTACTCCCAATAACATCAGCAGAAAAATGCTAAAATGCTGCATTTACCTGGACTATTTCTACCAAATCAGAACACAGCTAAGGATGTTGTCAGTTATGGGGCTTGAACTCAGGACCTAGGTGCTGTCCCTAATCTCTTTGTGCTCAAGACTTGTGCTCTATCACTTGAGCCACAATGCCACTTCTGGTTTTTGAGTAGTTAATTGGAGATAAGAGTCTCAAGGAGACTTTTCTGTCCTGGCTGCTGAGATCTGAGGATCTCAGCCTCCTGATTAGTACCTAGGAATACAGTCATGAGCTACCAGTGCCCAGCATCCTAGCTTGCTGCTTGCTTGCTTGCTTGCTTCCTTTCTTTCGCTGGTCCTGGAGGCTAAACTCTGGGCCTGGGTACTGTCCCTGAGCACATTATCTCAAGGCTAACAAAGCAAGAAAGCAGACTGAAATCTTTTCCCATCACACAGATTAACTTGAATGCTCTCCTTCAAGTGCTCTACTACTTGAGCCACAGCACCACTTTCAGCTTTTTCTGATTAGCTGGAGATAAGAGGCTCAGGGACTTTCCTGTCTGGGCTGGCTTTGAACAGTGATCCTCAGATCTCAGCCTCCTGAGTAGCTAGGATTACAGGCATGAGCCACCAGCTTCTGGTCTAGCTTTTTCTTTTAATTAAAAAAATCTGTAATATAAACTTAGTTGTCTTTGTCTTTATTATGAAGAAAGAAAAACCAATCAACCAAGCAACAAACAAACCAGGGAATAGCCAAATGCTAACATCTTTTCCAAAGGGATTTAAAAAAGATAAATTTGGGTTGGGAAGGTAGCTCCACAGTGGTATAGTGCTTGCCTTGCATAAGGCCCTGGGTTTGATTCCTCAGCACCACATAAGCAGAAAAAGCCGAAAGTGGCGCTGTGGCTCAAGTGGTAGAGCGCTAGTCTTGAGCTGAATTATTCAGGGACAGCACCCAGGCCTAGAATTCAAGCCCCATGACCAACCAAAAAAAAAGATGAATTCTACATATGTACCTATATACTCAGTCCTGAAAAAAATTGGTAGATTTTTCCAAAAGTAGGTTAGGTACAAGTTTATAAGAAATCTCACGTGATCAGGAAAAAATTGAAAGTAGTTGAAAGCACAGCTTTGGATCACACACAGGCATCCAGTGAACCTCCAGCTTCATCTCTAAGGAATTCCCCTGAAGTACTTAAAAACGTTCCAGTGTCCTAAGAAATCTAACTCATGAATGAAGCAAGCAGTGGTTCTATGATGTCTGGAAATATCACAGTGAATTCTATTAATATGTACAATTACTATGCTAATAATGATGACGATAAAAACACACTTCCTGCTTCAGCAGGAACTTTGACGATAATTTAGATCATTCAATTTAGAGAGGAAGATGGACTAAAAATAATAGGTTAAAAGTATTTCTTAGAACACAAACATAGACAATCATCCCTACAAATTTAGACATGAAGGAACTCAGGCTTTCCGTGTGTGTGTGTGTGTGTGTGTTCGTGTGTGTGTGTGTCTGTGTGTGTGTGTGTGTGTGTGTGTGTTTTCCAAAGCCAGATAACAAGCAAAGGGGAGTATTTTAGAATCTACGGCTATGACTGAATTGTGACTGAAACCTAAAAAACTATATGTCAAATGTTCAACAAAGATCAACAGACTCCCAGTAATTTAATTTGTAATTATAGTGCATTTAACTCAATTTGTCCCTGTTCTTCAACTGCCTCCTCCCACACCCTAGCCTTCCTCACCCACATCTCTAAGATATATTCATTAATGGAATCAAAGGGAAGAAGATGAAAAGAGCTACCTTCTCACTGGACCTCTAATTATCATCTTACTGATGCTTTCATTATTTAACAGAAAATGATCCTAAATCCCAGAAGACAACACATGCAGCCAACTAACCCAGTAGTTTTTAGAAGAGCAGTGTGATACAGCCTTGATCATGATCTCTTGGAACCAAATGGAACTCAAAATGGCTAAGGGGTAATTTCAGAGGAGTTGGTAACCATTCCCCACCAAGCCTCAGTTTCCTTATCTGAACAAATAGGAACAGCAAGGATCTTGATTGGAGTTATGAGAAAATTGCTTGTGGTGTAGTTGATAGGCACAGTAATGCTGCAGCTAACAAGAAGACAGGGATACTTCACAGCCCAAGAGTGCATCTACTGCTTGCTAACAAAGCAGGAAAGCAGACTGAACTTTTTTCCCCATCACATAGATTAACTTGAATGCTCTCCTTCAAGATTACCAGGCTATTCCCTCTTCTTTTTCTTTCTTTCCTAAATGACATTATTAGATTATATTCCAGAAAGAAGAAAATCAAACACTACCCTAATGTGTTTAAAAAAGTAGTTATTACAAGGGTACTAGAAGCATTTACTTAGCAAATGAAAGGTTAAGCCATGCAGTTTCTACATTTATTCCGCTAAATAAAAGGAATATTACAGCTTTGATTTGCACATCTTCCTCAATGTTGAAAAGCTTTTAAAAAAGTCCCAACTGTCTAAAATAATTTCCTTCTTGTTCATTTAACTTTTTCATTCAGAATGTACTACACCAATAGGATTGTTTAGATTTCAGTATGTTTTTTAATCTTTCATATTTTAAAACTATAAAGTCACTGCACAGGCAAAGTATTTTGCTAGACAACAGGCATCAATGTTTATTTATAAAGAGAAGAAAGCAGCAGCAATGTCCCTTGCTCAGCATGTAGAAATAGCTTCTAGGCCTCCGTTACCTGGTTCTTGACATTCCTCTCCTTGTAAAGGTCCCAAGTTACTGCTGGAAGTCCTGAAGAGGTTAAGCATCTGTTTGATGCTTGGTGAATTTCCAAAGCTCTACATTAGGGTACGTGGTTAATTTCACCAAGAGGGAAGTGACAGAAGCCCCAGCATTTTCATCTTGTGAAAAGCTCTGAATCTGGTTATTTTATAAGCAAGTACTATTATCTCTAATGGCCCAGTCATTCTCTGTAACAATTTACATGCCCTGAGAGTCTTATTAACTCTTTTAGGCAATTAAGGTGCTATTACAATCATTAGGGCCTGGAACCTAATTGCAGTACACGAATGGTCTCCAAGTATTAATGAGACTGCCAAAGTGACCAATTTTCTGTTTGGGAGAACAAGGTGTTTTAGTTTCAAGTGTTATTTACCTAGACTTTTGTGAGATTATAGTGGATATTCCAGTCCTGGTAGGTAAAACCTGAAGATTTAAATTAGTAAAGTTAAAATTATAGAAATACGTTTTTTTACTAATTGAAACTTGCTCGCTGATGCAATGGCAAGTTTTAGTTCACCTCACGTCAAAATTAAAAACTAAGATATAAGACAAAAGACTATGTGCTTCATCCATGTTTGCACATCTGTCCATTAGGACCAGAGAAGCTAGTTCATCACAGAACAACTCCAAAATTTCTTTGAAAACATCACAGCTTAAATATGTCCATAAAAATATAGTAAAAAAAGAAAAGAAAAAATGTATAGATAAAAGATATCATGGAGATCAGTTACTCCACACTGTACAGAACGGGAGCTTTCAGGTCATGCTGGCCCTGGGCAACTCCAATCTCTAAGCAGCAGTGTCCCTGTGGAGAAAAGGTGCTGAGGCCGGATAACCCTGAATCTTGTTTGTGAAAGTAACCAGTCTACCTACCTGTCTAGTGCAAACCATGAGGCATGACTGATCACTTACTTACCCAAAGAAAAAATCATCACTTTCGAATTATCAAATTAAACCAGGAATAAATGGGTATATTGCTATATCAAAATCATATCAGAAGCTGGGCCCTGGTGGCTCATGCCTGTAATCCTAGCTACTCAGGAGTCTGAGGATTTGGGTTTAAAGACAGCGGAGGCAGGAAAGTCCATGAAACTCTTATTTTCAATTAACCACCAAAAAGTTGGAAGTAGAGCTGTGGCTCAAATGGCAGAGGTAGAGTGCCAGCCTTGAGTTAAAAATAAATAAATAAATAAAGCTGAAGGACAGGGCCCCAGAGTTGTCAAACCAGCTTCTGACCTGGTCATAGGAAAGGAAGTAAAAAACAGAACTTTAGATAACATTACTTGAGAGTTATTGGAATAACTGAGGGAAATACAATATAATCAAGCTATGTTTAGAAATGAATTCCCTGTCTTAGAATAGCAACTTAAGTCCATAAAGAAAAAATACAAAATAAGAAATGAGTTGTAAACATATTCTTTATAGAACAGCAACAATCACTCAAAAGAACTAAAAACCGGCATGTAAAGACAGAAACAGTACGAGAGAGGGGTGTGGAAGGAAGGGAAGGGAGGAGGAAACAACAGAAAGGGATGAGAGTCAGTGGAAGAGGGAACATGGAGCAGATGGATGGTAGACTACAGTAAACACTTTCTTAGTTTAAAATACTGTTTGTTGATATGTTTTCCTCTCTCTTGTTTCTCTTACTACATATGACACTACTCAGACAAAAACTTAGATTATCTTTTACAATCTATGGGAAGAAAATTTTAAAAACTACATATATTTAATTCCCAGATGTATCAATTGTGTTTTACATGACCATGTTTTAAGCTCTAAGAATTCTAATGACATAATAATTTACTTTTCTGGGAAGTTCCAGACTTACCATGAAACTTTTCAGCTTCAGGATCATTTACATTGATAGCAATTAATTTCCAATCTGTTTCTCCCTCATCAATAAGAGCCAATATCCCAAGGATCTTCACCTGAACCACTTCTCCTCGAGAAAGAACCTTTAAAGAGAAAAAGAGAGTCACCATTTGCAAGGCTCTTAAGAGTTTACCCAAGTAACATAGAAACCCATACAAAGGACAAAAAAAATACTATAGACAGAAATGTAAGTTTTAATACTTACAGACAATGTAAAAGTAGTCATAAAGATTGCTTTGCAACATTCCTTTAAAACCAATTATTTTATCATTTTTACTTCCACCTCAAATAGCAGTATTTCACAAGTTGGGAACAAAGAGTGTTTTTAAAGTTCTTGGGACTCCACATAAAGTTTTTAAAAAGCTCATGCTAGAGTCAGACACTGGTGGCTCACATCTGTCATCCTAATTACTCAGGAAGCTAAGATCTGTGGATTGCAGTTCAAAGACAGCCTGGACAGGAAAGTCTATGAGACTCTTATCTCCAACAAACTACTCAGAAAAAGCTGGAAGTGGTGCCGTGGTTCAAGTGGGAAAGTGCTAACCTTAGCACAGACAAGCTCAGGGACAGAGTGTAGGCCCTCAGTTCAAGCCCCAGAACCAGCAAAAAAAAAAAAAAAAAGATAAATTATTTTATATTTGAAAATTTATTTAAAATTTTTTATGGGTTTATAGGCAAGCAAGAAGCATGACTAATGGATCATAAAGTTTCATCAAAATATACATGCCCTTTGATCACATAAGAACAGAAGGGATCATTTTATTTCAAACAAACTATTGCTGCAACATTTTTGCAAAGTATAAAGAAAAAAAAATCAAACAAAAGATACTTAGGAAAAAATGTTAACCTCAATCTGAATTAATGCAACAAATTTTTACCAACCATATCATGCTTAATCCTAGATACCAAATGAATAATGCATAATCTCTAAAGAAACTTATAATGCTGAAATTTCTGCGTCTGTGTCTCTCAATTATCAACTTGCAGGATTCTGCTTGATTTCCTCAGCCTGTTAACAATACTTGTTAAAGGAAAGTTTCTACCACAGTGCTCCATACGTCCGACTAAAGTATTCTTTTCATAGCCAGGCACAGAGGTCAGGCATAGCACACCCTTAGCAAAGTACATATGACTGCAAATATACTTTAGTAAATATTATGATGGGTCATATTGAGAAAAAGGAATAAACTGATCTGGCTGTCAGGAAAAATGTACTTTCCCAGTTCAAATATAAGTCTACCCTTCCAAGAAAATTACTTTACATGGCAGATTTTTTAAAAATATCAATTCTGCAGGTCTAATGTAGTTCATCATGTTTGAAGTAAGCTGGGATTCTATATGCCTCAAAGGTTTTAAGTGATATCAAAATTGGGTTATCAACTTTGGTAGCCACTGCAAAAAATTTCAAATGACAGGATTTTTAGTTATAAACAGTGTGGCTTAATTCTTTCACTACTGTTACAAGTGGCAACCTGAGGAAGATTACTTCATGGAGTATTTTACATGTTTCTCAACAGTCAAATAAAGACAATATCACTTATCCACTATGGGAAGTAAAGAGGCCAGGGAGAGCAGACTTTGAACTAAAAATCATACAAGATCATCTATAGATACCAATGTTTTTCTCACTCAGCTCACATGAACTTAGCACTACCCACTGCTGATCCTTCAGAGTCTGGTATGAGCAGAATCCCTGAGGCCTCCAGTGTATATTCTTTTCTTTTTTTGGTACTGGGGATCGAACCCAGGACATTGCACTTGCTAGGCAAGCATTTTGCCACTGAGCTACATCCCAGCCCTCCAGTGTATATTCTATGTAGATTCAGAATTTAGGAAACTCTAACATAAGTTCTATGGTGATTAAGAACTTAAAACAGGGGTAAACTTCAACCAGGTCCAGTCAATATAAATACTACTTTAAAGTCTACTATGATATGAAGAGGTTTCCTAATATTGCATAATAAATTATTAACATTGAAAGGCCTCAAATAGTATATCATCTGTTTGTATGGTTCAGGTGTCTTGGCCAGTAGTCTACGTTCTCTGCCTACGGCCTTGCAAGCTAGAAACAAGGAAGGATTCTCTTCTGTTGGTTTCCTGCAGTTGTGGGACAGAGGCCTCTGTTGTCTTGCTCTCTGCATCTAGAAGTTGGCCTCTATCCTTCCCAAGTGCCATCCCTTCCTCATCTTTAAAGCAGCAGTGGGGTATGCGCACTTCCTGTGACCTTCTCACATGACCCTTTCACGTCCTCTTCCACCACTAGCCAGAGCAAACTCTGTTTTTAAGGGCTCACATCATTACATTGAACTCTCACATACCTACCCACTGCGATCCTCAAGAGTCTAGTATGAGCAGAATGCCTGAGGCCTGAACTGTTCCTATTTTACAGCAAGCCAGGAGATAAAACACAATCTAGATAGAGCGAAATGTCTCACTATATCCACAGATGCAAGAATCATGGCAGACATCTTTAAGTACCATTTTGGAAAATCTAGTATCCCAAAAGAAATTAAAAAGGAGAAGTTCTATAACAAAAATAAATTGTAAAAAAAAATGCCCCCAAACTCAAATATGTACATATTTATCTGAGGAAGAAAACATGGAAAAATAAAAACCTACATTTATTGGCACAGCAGGATTTTAAGAGAAAGTTTGTCTTTAATTTCTTGTCTATGAATAAAACTATAATTTTCTATAATACATAACATTGAGGGGAAAAAATTTAAAATATTTGGGAAAAAAGGGTCAAAAATAAAAACAAAAGCAGATAAAAATTAAAGAATATGTTCCTAGAGAAGAAATAGATTTTTGTGATCACCAAATTCAAATAATAACCAGGCTTACAAAATGTTAATTTTAGTATAAAATAGCAATATTTTGCTTACTGGTAAACCATGGTGCTTAGGAATTCATTTTTTTCTTCTACATGCTGCTAATAATTTCATCATTCTAGAATATCTTTCCAGCAACTCTTGTTGATTCTTATGCCATGAGCATTTCTCCTACACCTTTAATATTCTAATAGATATTCAAGTAGAAGTACTTTCATTTAATCATTTATAATTAGTATCTTATCTACACAAAACATTACAAAGATTAGTCAATATATTCTTCAGGAATTAGTACATACTAGCTATGTACTAGGCTTTAAAGGTACTATGCTTTCAATACTGTATTTAGAAATCACTATATTAAAAACCTTTCATTTTATTCTGCATATTCAGTGACTGACACGTTTATTTAAGAACCCACATTGAGTTTTCTGAGTGTTATTAATTTGTTCTGTCAGTAACAAATTAGTGTCACTAAGTCAAATCAATTTAACAGATACAAATATTTTCATAGGATTCCTTCCAGTTAACCATCTCATTAATTACATTTCACTGACACATCTGTTCATGGACAAAAATAAAGTCACTTTAAATTTAATCTTTTAACACCTACATAATGTTTCAACCAATTTAATAATTTATACCAAATATGAACTACATAGGACAGGAATTGTACTCAAAGAATTTTATATAATCTTTTTTATATAATCTTTCAATCAATGTAACATCAATTTATTGACCTTTGCTTAAGATTATAAAGTTACTATTTTATGATAAGACTCTTTATCAAGATACATGGATGTGATTGAAAAACACAGCACAGTGTCTGGGCACAGGAGGTACTCGTTAGAATATCCATCATTCTTTCTAATCTTTCATTTTATGCACACTTTGACCATCCCTGGGGAGAAAAAAGTTCAAAAAATGAATTCTCAACTGCAGCTTAAATATTATAAGCAAAACTTATAATTTGTTCCTATTTCTGCTGGAGAATTACAGTCATATATACATATGAATTGTAACTAATCAACAAATACTCAGGAGGTTGAAATCTGAGAACCAGAGTTCAAAGCTAGTCTGGGCAGAAAAGCCATGAGACTCTTAATCTCTAATAAACTACTCAGAAAAAGCCAGAAGTGACATTGTGGCTCAAGTGGTAGAGCACTAGCCTTGAGCACAAATTGGCTCAGGGACAGTGTCCTAGTTCAGGCCCTGAGTTCAAACCCCAGGACTGGCAAAAAACCCAAATAAACAAATTCCCAGAAACACAAAATGGAATAAGGCTTTTTCACCTTCAGGAAAACAGTAAGAGGGAAGGAAAAAGAAAGGAGGGGAAGTAAGAAAAGGAAGTAGAGGAAGAGAAGACAGTGGAAGAGAAAAAAGCAAGAAGCAAAAGAAAGAAAGATAAAGAGGAAGAAGAAGAAGTAAAACAAATGAAAAAGAAGAGAGGCGAGAAGCAGTTGGCTCTCATCAGTATTAAAGCTTCTGTCTGGATAATGACAGGGATGCTGAGGAGAGACAGGGCTTGGCAAACTTCCTGTAAAGTGTCAGATAGTAACTATTTCAGGCTTTGTGGACACCATGATCTCTCCTACAATTCCTCAATTCTACCATGTAGTACAAAAGCAGCCCTAGACAATGCACATATTAGGCATAGCTGTATTGTACATATAGGGGTGGCTGCATTTTTCTTGCTATAATTTACCAACCCCTGTGTTAAGAGAAGTAAATATATAAAAGACCAGATATCAGAGAAATCAATAGCTTGCACTTTGAAGAGTTGAAGGACTAGAGGCAAAAATGAAACTTCATAGCATGAATAAATCAAAGCATATGTTGTAACAAACAAAGTCTATAAAACCAACCTTGGAGCCTATTTCACAAACATCAATAGGGTCATTATCTCCACAGCAGTCTGTGTTCTTATCTTTCTGATTGGGATCTTCCCAAGTCTGAAAGAGAAGCAGAAATGTAGGCTAATGCTCACTGTAACATCTTAATCTTTCTACATGATCATCAAGTTTTATAGCTAGCTATAATTCAAAGGGGAAATTCTCAGAAATTACACAGGCTCAAGGGCAAGACGCCAGTATGTCCCTAAGCATCACAATAATTAAAACAGATTTATAGTATTTCCTCCCTCTGTCTCATTTGTCTGTATAATCATGTCTGAAAGTGGGTGGTCCTCCAAATTTAGTCAGGGACTCAATTCATATTCACAAATCTTAAGAGTTTCAGTTTGTGTGTTCTCCTGTTTGTGCCCTTGCTTGAATTTCCGCTGGCAGCCTCAACAATGGCTTCTGTCTCTTATTGCTGTCTGACATGGTGACACTGAAGAGATGCAGCTTCCCGTTTTTGAAAATGAACTTCCTAGTCTTTAAATATCTTCTACTTGTAGAAACAGTTTTCCTTTCGTAAACAAAAGAACAAGACGTTATATACCTTGGGAGGGGCAGGGGAGAATGACGAAAGGGGCAATAGCAATCAAGAAGCATCACACTTATAAATTGATTTGTTGAATGGTAACCTCCTTCTACAACTACCTAGAGATAGTAAAAATAATGAAAGAAAAACTCTTTTTTATCTCATTTTGTTCCACTAAAGAAAATGCTCTGTATTTTTACATTAAATGTCAAGATACTGAAAAAACATACATAGAGCCAATCAATACCAGTGGCTCATGCCTGTAATTCTACCTACACAGGAAGCAGACAACTGAGGATCAAGGTTCCAAGCCAGCCTAAGCAGACAAATCTGAAAGACTCTTATCTCCAATTAAGCAGCAAAAAGCCAAAAGTGGAGATATGGCTCAAATGGTAAGAGTGCCAGACTTGGGGGAAAAAAAGCTAAGCAAGAGTGCACAGCCCTGAGTTAAAACTCCAATACCAGAACAACAACAACAACAAAAAACCCACACAAAACCATGAAAATAAACTCACCCAGTTTACTAAACATAGTATACTATTGACTACAAAATTACGTGTGCTTTTGTAAATGGACAGCATAGTAGATATTTGCTATCAAGTTTAAATATCCTCTAGGACCTACCACTTCCCTAAAGCTTCCTAACTGCTTGCTCTAAATCCAAGCCTAAAAGTTGCTCAAAAGCTCCCAGAATTTACACTATAAGAGCGTAAAGGGGGGCGGGGGGCGGGGGAGAGGATGGGAAGGAATGGGAAGGGGAAACAAAGGAGAAGGCCACAATGCTTGATAAGAAATGTACTCATTATCTTGCCCGTGTAATTGTAACCCCTCTGTACAGTAGTTTCAAAATAAAATAAAATAAAATAAAATAAAAAGAGCTGTGAACATTGTGCAACCTTAAGATTCAGTTAATTGCTACTACCTTGGATTTCAGGTTAGCCAAGTTTAGTTTCTCTAATTTTATGTCTGTAACTAAAAATGCACACTTATTAATAGCCAACTCCAGAAAAATATTTTCTTTCTCATGTTAATTATAGTATACCCAGAAATAAATTGTCCTGACCCTATTGAAAAAAAAGCAACCATGTCAGACAAGATTATACTTCCCAAATATTAATTACTAGTACAATATAAAAAACTATAATTGTTCACCTTACATACTGCTTATAGGTGATAGATACTTTCTAAATCACATGCATAAACACTGTGGGGGAAAATGACATTATCCACATTTGTACAGATAAAGTGAAATAAAGTGTTTAACTTATCCAAGTTTAGAGTTTCTAAGCATTTATAATGCACTTTTTTTTTTCTTTTTTTGGTGCTTAGGGCTCAACTCAGGGGTTAGATGCTGTCCCTGAGCTTTTTGCTCAAGGCTAGCACTCTTAACACTTAGGCCACAGCTCTACTTTTGGCTTTTTTTGGTAGTTTAGTGGAGATAAAGCGACTCATGGACTTTCCTGCTCGGACTAGCTCCAAAGTGTGTTCCTCAGATCTCAGATCCTTGAGTAGCTAGGATTATAGGTATGAGCTATCAACGCCAAGCATAATGTCCAAATTTTGATAATGATAGCAAATTCTATTTTGTAGTTATCTTCTTGTAGATACTTTTCTCAGAATCTCCTAAGCACATTTTCCCACAGAAGTTCCATTCTTCTTTGGTTTCCCCATCACTCTACATTTTTCTTATTGTTACCAAACATCCATTTACATTAATCAGTAAGATGAGTACAGTATTTACTGAGTGCTATCTAGGCCAGGAATAGAAATGAGTAAGAAACAGCCAATACCTTGAAGAGTATCAGGGTACTGGAATTTATGACAAATACTTCAGCATTTGTGCTGGGGAAAACAATGTGAGACCAAAGTAAAGTCAAAATCAAAATCCTAAAAAATCTCTCTCCTTATACAGGGTCCTCTCTTGAACCCTCCTAATCCTTCACCCACAGTCACAGAGAAAACAAATGTGATAAGCCAGAGACACGGCCTTAATTAGGAAAGGCAGCAGGATTCTATCCTACCTCAGCCACAAACTACTATGACTACAAAATCAAGACCTCAGTGTCTTCTGCTAGAAAAAATGATTCAACTAGAAAAATTTTAGATATATTTTTGCCCTGCAACTGTGATTTTTAGTATTCATTCATAATCTGCATGAATACTACCAATGAATACGAAGCTTACTTTGGCTGTTCTCTGAGACAAAACTGTATTTTTATGACATGAACAAAACTTGGTTTTGGTAAGTGTTTCTGTTGACTTGCATTCTCCCAGAACTGTATTTTGAGTATTAGCCACTGATTTAGTTTCTATCATTACGGAAATAAGTACGAAGTAAAGCATGCTTAAACTACACAATGATACTAATTTTAACACCGTTTCTTCATGACTTTGCAACAGAAAAAATACCAGACTGATTCTATTTCCATGTCTGCCTTCAACGAGTTAAATCTTCAGGGCTTTGGTTTTCATTTAAGAAGAAACACAAACTAAATGACCTCAATTTTAACTTGGGGTCATTTAGTTTAAAGTCAAAGAGAGGAAATCTTGACCGATTTAAAACTTTGAACATGCCCTCTTGTGGAGTTTTAGGTGTATAACAAGCAACTAACTAGAAAATAAGAAGTTCATGAGCTTTGTATTTCTTTCAGAAAAGTGAAAACGGTTACTATCTAGAATTTAAAACTAATTTTTGTAAGGACAACCCAACTAAAATGGGTTTTAGACATGAACAGGAAATTCAGAGAAACAAAATATGAATAGCTTAAAAATGTGCAAAAAGGGCTGGGAAGGTGGCTCGGTGGTAGAGCGCTTGCTTTGCATGCCTGAGGCCCTGGGTTCGATTCCTCAGCACCACATAAGCAAAAAGAAAAAAGCCGGAAATGGCTCTGTGGCTCAAGTGGTAGAGCACTAGCCTTGAGCTAAAGAGCTGAGGGACAGAGCCGAGGCCCACAGTTCAGGCCCCATGACCGGACCCCCCCCCCAAAAAAAAAAAATGTGCAAAAAGATTGATCAGATAAATACAAACTAAAACCACAACACTATTTCCAATTTTTTTTAAAAAAAAATCTGATAGTGTTAATACCAGTGAAGGTATTTATAACAGTATAAGTTGCTGCTTGGCAACAGTGGCTCACACCTGTAATTCTAGATACTCAGGAGGCTGAGATCTGAGGACCAAAGTTCAAAGCCAGCCTGAGCAGGAAGTTGAAGAGATGTGCATCTTCAATTCACTACCAAAAAGCTGGAAGTGGCTGTAGCTCAAGAGGTAGAGCACTAGGCTTAAGCATAACAAAAACAACAACAACAACAAAAATCTTCAATGACAACAGCCAGGCCCTGTGTTCAAATCCTCAGGACCAGCACACACACATACAGAGTGTAAGTTATAAACAACTTGGGGATACTTATTAAAATAGGTATAAAATTCACAATTTGACTCATGAAGTATATACCTAGGGGTACATACTCAAATATAGAGAAAACAATTAATATGGACCAAAGCAAGGAATCCAAAAAAGCTTTAAAATAAAGCTATTATCAGGAACCGTGTTATAATAAATGATTGTGATGCTATGAAAAAAGGAACAAATCAAAATGTGTAGCCTAAATTAAAACTTTTGTACAGTGTTTAAGATCATTGCCCTGTAATTTATAAATACGAGCTAATATGCTTGTAACCACCATGCTCTGGCCCAAAGCTTCATATATAGGAGAGTCTTGAGAATTCATTCCTGATTAACCGTATCACTGTGCTAAAGGAAGTAATAGCTACTCAGTGACAACCTGGATTCCCAGCTTTCAATTAGAGCAAGAGTGCCTCTTGCTGTCACTGGCATCACTGAGATATTACTGTGAATTCACTACAGAGTTGAACATGCTGCTGGCTCACCCTTTGCTACTCACAACCACCTTGTTGGGGCAGGTGGTGGGACCATACATATGGATGGACCCAACAAGGTTAAGTCTCTTAGGCTCTAAACCCAATCTTCAACTTAGCAGTTGACTTGATGACTGCTCTCACCAAATTTCCCACTGTTGTAAGATAAATCACAGGTGAACAGCCAAATGTGGCATCTATATATGCCAATGACACTGAGAACCAGGATATAACCATCCACAAAATCCCTGCCTCCAGAACTCTTGTTCTTATTTCTATGCTTTATTTTTCCCCCTTTCCGCACTTCCCACACCGTAACCTGCCCTATAATTCATTTAATTTGTTGTCAACTTCTTCTGGCTACAGTGCAGTTTTGTTTTGTTTTGTTTTTTATCAATCCTGGGGCTTGAACTCAGGGCCTGGGCACTGTCCTTGAGCTTCTTTTGCTCAGGGCTAGCACCCTACCACTGGAGCCACAGCACCACTTCCAGCTTTTTCTGTTTAGGTGGTACTGAGGAATCAAACCCAGGGCTTCGTGCAGGGTAGGTAAGAACTCTTATCACTAAGCCACATTCCCAGACCTTAGAATGCAGTCTTGATGAGAACAGGATTTTTGTGTGTTTTATTGATGGTTATATCCCAACTGTCTAGCTTAGTGGCTGGCACTAAGCTGGTGATCAGTAAATATTTTTGCTGTGAATTAATTAATGCATTGCATATGTGTTATTCATAGGCATGTATGAGTTGGCTTTCATTTGAGCATTGTTTTTAAAAACATTTAATTTAATTATTTTTATTTGGTAGATAAATAGGATATGCAATCTAAGTTTATGTGCACACATATATACTCCCAAGACTGGCTAGGATTTAAACACATATCTAAGACTTTTGCTTAAAAATAGCAGTCTATTTCCTTTCCTTCATTTCCATTCAATCACACTGGGCTACTCTGTGTTACTTAACTATACAAGGCATATTCAACCTCAGGCCATTCTCCTTGCTGTTTCCTGTTGGACTGCTCTTTTCCTAAATGTCCACCATACATGGTCCCTCACTTCCTTTAGATCTTTACTGAAATAATACTTTTCACTGAGATCTTCCCTTAGCTCAAGGTCAAGAACACTTCGGAGTGCCATTCCCTCCCTTCCTAGCAGTACTGGGGTTTGAATTCAAGGCCTTCTACTTGCTAAGCAGGAACTGTACCACATAAGCCATACCCCCAGCCTTTTCTGCTTTTTATTTTTCAGGTGTGGCTTTACATTTCTGTACAGGCTTTGCCTAAGATCATGATCTTCCTACCTCTATTCCTGTGCAACTGAGAGCACAGATGCACACTATCACCCTTGACTTATTGATTTGCACAGGGTCTCAATACTTTTTGTGCATCCTAGCCTTGAACCACTAATCCTTCCAATCTCTTCTTCCCAAGTAGTTGAGATTACAGGAAGGGACAAGGAGGCATTTAATGAGCCGCCACACCCAGCCTCCCTGCTTTTTTTCCTCCTCCAGTGCACTTACTACCCGCTGACATTATACTTGGTTTATTGTTCATCTGTCTGACTAGAATAAAAGTTCCCAATGAGTTTTTGTCACTTTTATTACTGTTTTCCCAGAGTACTTAAGACTAAAAACACTGCCTGGAAACTATTAAACACTCAATAAATATGTATTAAATGGAAGAACAGTTCTGTAAGCTTAGAAATTAGAAACACTATAGAAGTTGTGTGGAATGGAAGTAAGGATGAAGGAAGAAAGTTGCAAAGTAAGGATGGAGATCATGCAGGGTCAGGGAAGAACTTTTAAATAAGAGTTTTATATTTTATCCTTTTAAGGACAAGAAATTGAGGGGCTCTTTATTGTTTTTGTTTTGTTTTATTTTCCAGTATTAGAACAGAACACAGGTTTTGTAAGCACTTTACCACTTGAGCTGCATCCCAGTCCTTTGGGTTTGTTTTTCAAATTGGGTATCCTAATTTTGCCCAGACAGTCTTGATCTGTGCTCCAAAGTAGGTGGGATTAGAGACATGTACTTCCATAGTTGGCTCTGAAAAGTTCTGGCATAGGAAAAGCATTCCTGGATTTTTAAACTCTCACAGTAGATGTTGGATGGAATATGTTTTAGGTAGGTAATGGAGAATACAAGGTAAATAGTACATTAAGACATGGAAGCAATTTAATTTGGTTGATTCAAAGTTAACTCACAAAGAAAAGTCCCTGAAACTCCATCTCCAAATAACCTGCAAAACGCCAGGCTAGTGATGTGGCTCACATAGCACAGGTTTGAGTACGATTTAGGGCCTGAGTTCAAACCTCAGTACTAGCAAGGGAGAGACAGAAAAAGAAAGAGAGAGATGGAGAAAGAGAACACTACTACACATAACAGACTAAGATCATGGCAGATAAGAGCACCTTAAAATTAAAACACATCACACAAGGGAAACACAAAATTTTAGCGGGCTCCATAGAGAAATCTACATAAATTTCTTTTGTTTTACCTTCATCTCTCACCTCCTTTCACTTCTCATCAATAGGTCTGCTTTATATTGTCCCCAACAAAATAACAGAATTAGTAAAAATGTTAGGCTTAGATGTCGATCACACCAACCAGAATGTAAATTACTTCGATAAAAAACAGAAAATATTCAAGTAGTAATCACAATATTACTATCCATTACACATTCTACTAATGAAATAATTTCATTTCCTCTCACCACAGCCATATGCAATAGATATTACTCTTCATTGTACAGGTAAAGATGTACCTTGCCCAAGGTCATATTGTATCCTCTGTCTTCTAAGCCCAACACCTAGTTTACTAGCCAGAACATAGATTCTTAATAAATGTCTACAGAAACGAACAAACTTGAACTCTCTCTTCCTTACATGCCTTTTTTTCCATCTGCCTCAAATTCAGTGGCTTCTTTGGCCTGGCCCTCTTCCTCCCTTCCTCACCTTTCCCCATGCCCTATGTGCCACAGAATTTCTTCAACCTTTCCCTGGTGAGTCTAGCAGAATGTCTTTTTAGGCATTTAGGGAATCAGAAAGGCTGCTTTCCATCTCAGCAGACATTTCCATCCTGAGCACATCCATTTTAGGAGTGCCAGTTAACCAAGAATGCATCCACGTGGGTGGTCTAACTGCAAGAAAAGCAGCCTGGCTCTTCAGAGAACAATTTTCCCTTTTCTGTGAATGTTTATTCTAAATGGGCAGCTGTTTTGCTGGGCTGGGATAAAGCCAGGACCCCTCTCCCCATTCCTAGAAATTTCTTAAGTCTTTGCATTTCATGCAAGATATTAACATCAATATATAAAAACACAAAAATTAAACCTTCAGGCAGATGTTCTAATGAGGTTAATAAACATAAAAACAAATGTTTTTTTCTCTCTGTCCCCCAAACCTAGACTTTGGAGCAAGCAAACATACTGAAGCTTCCTAGTTAAACTGAAATATGAGAGGAAAGTTAAAAGAGCAAGAAAGGATGGAAGCAAATAAGAAAGGAAACTATCCAATGAGAACATTCGTCATTATACTGCCACTTGCTTCTCATCCTCCTTGCTTTCTACTCCTAACAGTGAGTAAGTAGATGGTCTAACTCAGCTCACATGTTCTGAAAAAATCAACCATTTAAAAAATAAAATTCATTGCATATAAATAGGTATAACAAAATTATAGGAATGACTACAGATAAAAAAATTAGCCAGGGGCTGGGAAGGTGGCTCAGTGGTAGAGTGCTTGCCTTGCATGCATGAGGCCCTGGGTTCAATTCCTCAGCACCACATAAGCAAAAAGAAAAAAGCCGGAAGTGGCACTGTGGCTCAAGTGGTAGAGCACTAGCCTTGAGCTGAAGAGCTGAGGGACAGTGTCCCAGGCCCAGAGTTCAGGCCCCATGACTGTATTCCCCCCCCCCAAATTAGCCAGGCTCTGGTGGTTTACACCTGTAATCCTAGCTACCCAGGGGGGCTGACATCTGAGGATCAAGGTTCAGTCAGCCCAAGCAAGAAAGTCCTTGAGACTCCTATCTTCAATTAACCACCAAACAGCCAGAAGACGAACTGTGTGGCTCAAAGAGTAAAAAAGCTCAGGGATAGCACCTAAGCCATAAGCCCTGAGTTCAAGCCAGAGGACTGGCACATGCACACACACACACACACACACTCACACAAACACAAATCACACTTCACACACACACACATACACACACACAAATCACACTTCATAGCTCAGTCCAGAAAATGAAATGTGCTCATAATGTCAATACACTGTGCCAGACCCCAAGAACTTCAGCACAGACACATATATGGTTTCAAACAAAATTTATTGATGCAATAAAACTGCACATTAAAGAATTTTAAATTTACAAATCTCTCCAACTGACGGGTCCTCAGAACCAATTTAAATTCAAGTAGTTCACAGGATTTACAAGGCAATTTTTTTCTGAAGACAGAAAAATTTTACCATTATAACAAAACATTACCTGAGGGAGGGCCCCATAGTTCCATATATAACCCTTGTGAGGGAAGATGTTTGCCACAAAGCGCAGCTTGCCATGCTTCGCGTCTTGTTTAATGGGATTCAATGGTTCCTTGGTGGCAATCTGAGCAGACCACAGGGGGACAAAAAAAGGAGACTGAGCACTGGATGTGATATGATACATCTTACATCTAAGCACTTTTTAAATTTTCCATATTCAGACAAAATATGTTCTAACTCACCGGTCAAAAGTGCTTTAAAATAAATTAAGTCAGTGCCTATTACTGATTTAGAATACCATTTTAAGATGGAAAGGAAACATCTAATCATAGGTGGAGGCACTGTAACACTATGCATTTCATGTTCCTAAACACAAGTGATAACATACTTGGAATGGCAAGAAGATAAAGATTAACCAAGTTGTCTGGGCAATAATCTTTTAGATTTGACTCCAAACATACAAGTAAAAAAAGCAAGACTAGACAAATGTGATTACAGCAAATGAAAAAGCTTCTGCAAAGCAAAGGAAATAATTGATAGTGAAGAAACAATGTACGTTGTATACTGTGTTTACATGTATACATACATACACTACACGTATACATACAGTATATACGCTGTATGTATATACACACACACAGTTACTACAGGTAACTACACACACACACACACACACACACACACACGCACACACACACACACACACACACACACACAGAGGACCTAGTAAAATTACTGATAAAACTTCCTAAATATAAATTTTGAAAATTACACATCTTCTTAACAATGCTTATCTTTAACTTAAAATAACACATTCCACCAGATCCCAAGCAGTAGAAGTTAGCTACATAAACAGTGCCACAAACTAAATTTCAACTCTAAGAGATCTCATCTTACCAAAGAAATAATGAAACACTGAAAATAAGTAATAAAGAAGTCTGTCAAACATCCCTATTTCAAAGTATTATGCCAAATAGCTAGAGAGTGTTTTTGTATCATTACTACACTGACAGTTCATTCTACATTAATAAACACGCTCGTACCTCCATTTTAGCATTTGTCCACCGAGGCACTTCCACGACCATATTAAACAAATTCTGTAATTTAAAAAAAAGAACACTGGATATTTCATCTGGTTTTTTCACTATGAATTGGAGAACCTAGTGCTAACTGAAATTAGTACAGCCTTTGAAAGAATGCTATAGGTTTTTGTCCAACAAAAAAATGTTCAGTGTCCACATTATACACTTACCTATTTCTTGTAGGAATTATACAGGTTGTTTGAAACACAGCAGAACTGAACCCATCACTTTGACTCCTAGTGTTGAAGGTTGCTACCTTTAAATGCACCTTTGCAGTGCAATGACAGAAGGAGAATGGAGTCAGGAAGAGGTGGTGACTATCATTTTCTAGCTAAGATAGGAGAGAGACCCAGTCCCTCATCTCAGACTTCACCTTACTCTTCTGTTCAAAGAAAACAGTGGGACCATCTCCGTCCCAACTACCACAAAGTAATTAGGAAGATCAGTGACTTACATAACGTAAAGGAAAACACACAGAAAGTTATGAAGTCAGATATTTTGAAAACTATACAACAATATTTACATGTAAGATACAATCATAATGCAAAATGAGAACTATCAGTATAGGCAGTTATAGATTCTGCATAAACCATAGCCAGCCATTTCCCCTCCCCTCAGATAGCTTCTTTTTCTCCTATACTTTATAGACTGCTTAAGCTAGCAGAGACTATAGGTCAGTAGTGAATAAAAGCCATTCCACAGCATGTCATACAAAGTGAGACTATTCCAGTTATTGGGGACTCATGTGACATTTTAATCAGGAAGAAGCAATGGTTCAAGACAGTACTACCCCAGGTGTGGCCCTGGACCAGGCCAATCTGCCAACTGGTTGTTACTGGCATTTAGAATCCTATGCAGGAAGCTGACAGTAATCACATGTCTGTGAATCCAATCATCAAAAACTGAAACTTGACTTAATACTTTTCATCATTCATTCTGATCCTATTTCTAAACTATCAGTTCACAACAAACACCAAAAACCACAATTATTTGAGAATAATTAAATACACTTATTTTCAAATGTGCACACATCGAATTCACCTGGTGAGCTTTAAATACAAACAGAAATCCCTAGCCCTACCACTGACCAATGTGAACTCAGTTGGATGGGAAGGAGCCAGGAGGGTGCTTATTTTTAAAAGCTCTCTAAGCCATTTTAATACACAAAGTTGGTTTAAAAAAACAACAGCTTGCAGGTTTTAGTGAATAGCAAATGTTGTTAATTCAAACAATGCCATTTGCACAATTAAATGTAAATATACGTTCGATGATGATATTTATTTTTTCTAGGTGAGACTAAGACTTTCAAATGGCAAGAGGCAAACCCATAATGAGGTAAACAAAGCCTAGAATGAGTTTCCAGCAACTATGCCTTAGAAGTGCATCTCCTACCTAGCTCGGCAACCCTGGCACAGCCCTGCTGTTCTGCTTCATTCTCTATGCTCTTTCATGAGGTGCTCCACACCTGTTTAAATATGTCTCAAGAAGCCGTTAAAAGAAAAACCCAAGTAAGTGGCAGATGTTCACATAATGTATTCATTCCCTGAAAGCCTAGCTGTAGAACAAATGCACGTGGATGAATATTCAAGATGACAGAGAAGACCAGGCTCAGGATGACTGCTGTACACAATGACACCTACCAAAATCACTCACACAGACCTGAACTGGGCCAAAGAATAGGTCTGAATTTTCAGCCTGGAAGTCAGACTCCCCCTCCCTCAGCACTTGCTCCTGATCACTAAGGGCCAACTTCTAACCTGCCTTTCTTCTCTCCAGCTAAAATGTATTGGGCCTGTAATTTTCAGGCTCACGTTAGTCTGGGTTTCCAAAGATTGTTATTAATTACAAGCCAATAATGGTCTGCCAGAATTTATTAGAAAATCACCAAGATAAAAGGAGGCATATATCAAATCAGACAATTATATATGGACATTTAACTTCTCCCTCAATCCTCTTCTCTCCATTTCTTCCTTTGTAAATGTAATGAAATAAAACACCCAATTTTTAAACAAAACAAAGTCACCAAGTTTTACATACACAGGGGTGGGGAATGAGGGGGGAAATAGGAATATCGCTCTTCTTTCCTCTTAATGCTTTCAAATGAATACAAATCAGATAGTCTCTAACGTGAACTAGATTACAAGAATTGTATTTTAATTTGGTTGTCTGGACTCAGAATATACTTTTCCCACTGTTACAGGCTAATACAAACTTTTGAGTTCCTTCATGTTTGCTAGTCCAACATCAAGTACCTAATCACTAGGACACTGGCTGTCAAACTTTATGTCTAGGATGAACCTGGAATACTTGCTAAGCATGGAGGAGAACCAGGCCCCATCAAGTAGATTCTGATTTAGCAGAGAGACAAGAGGGTCCTAGGACCTCAGCTCCAACAAACTCTGTAAGTGGGTCCAGTGTGGGTAATTGAAAGATTATTTGACAAACACTAACTCGAGAAAATGGAGGATGGCGGGCAAAGGCTGTAGGGATTAAACAGCCTCCTTGTCTATGTGTGAAGAGGGATCACAGACTAGGGACAAAAGTCTCAGTGAGGGGAGAGAAGAGAGGTAATATGGCTGGAAAGGTAAGGCAGCCGGGAAAGCTGTCTAGCACCTAGAGCAAGAGGTGCAGAAATATCAATCACATAATATAACTGAGAAATTCCAAAAAGGTTTGATAGTCATTTAGTTAAAACACAGACTTGAAATATATGGCATGCATTTATTTTATCAAGCATTTTCTTTCTTACTTTTTAAAGTTTTGGAATACATACTCCAACTACTTTATTTTACAAATAAAGGAAGCTAATCTGATGCCATCTCATGAAGTACATTTACTTTAGACTAATCTACCACAATACATAGTTTGCTACCAAAATCTAGTTTTGCATTGATTCTCTTAGGTCTTTCCCTTGAGAAAGAAGTTTCTAAAACAGTAAAACTGAAAGACAAAGAAGAACAGTGGATACAGGAGGGGTCAAAAGGGACTGCTATTTATTTACTGGGTGCAAAGTTTCCATCTGGGATGACAGAAAACTCTGCAAATAGGCAGTACTTAATGCCAGCACACTGTACATTCTATAAAGTTTAAAATGGTAAATTTTATGCTACAAATACTTTACCACAATAAAAGCCCTAACTTCCTTAGAGAGATACTAGAAGAAAAAAATACCAGAATGCACATGAGTCTTACATGGGCAAACTCACAAGTTTACAAATGCAAACTATCACTAAGGTCCCAAAGAGACAGTATAAAAGAGATTCACAAAATAGGAACTTTTAGATATACCTCATATTCATCATTCCGTGCTTTCTTCGTGGGAATGCCATTTTCCTATAAAAGACAAGACAGCATTTATGAGTGTAATATTTCACAGAAAAATACAGATGCACTGCAAAGTGATAAAAATGCACCGGCTTTCTTCATGTCCCATCCCAGAGGCTACTCAGAAATTTCCTCCTCCCACCAGTAATGTCCAGTGAACTAAGCACCAAAGGATTTTATAAAATAAAGTATTAGAAAAGCTAAATCACTTTCAAGAATTTTTCCAGATTTTTATGAAATAAGCAAAGGTTCTGTACAGTCTTTAAGGAAAGACTGGCAGTTTCCAGTGATTACACTTAAAACAGTCATTCCATTATTGAAATGAAACTCCAGGGAGCATGACTAACAAGCCATGGAAGTACCGGCTGCACCTCCTGCCTGTGAATTCTACCCAGGTGTGATGATTATGCCTCTACGAGGCATTTTTTAAATTAAACCAGACTATGTGGTGGGTTGGGAAGAAAAATTAAGCCATTCACAAATGTACACCCAGTACATATAACATTTATACACCAAAATGACTACTAATGAAGCAAACAAACAGAAAAACAATTATTATTGTTGCTATTGTTAAAAATAAGCCCATTGTTTAACTAAATTATTACCTCTAATCTTCACTTCATACCGAATTCTAAGCTTTATCTACCACTAACACCCGCTTTTTTCCAAATCCTATCCTTACCCAAATTTTCATTCATGATTGAGGTTTACAGCCCTGTTACTGCACCTGCTTCCCTTCTTGACCTCCAACCATATTCCGTCTTTCAGGGTGTTGCTAGAGAAGCATTTTATGGGAATGACAAAAACACTTATCTTCATTCCAGAAACAAGTAGGAAATCATACCTCTTTAATATCCACCTTCAGAGGAATATCATGAAATGGGGAAATGTAGTGACCTGCCACATTCTCTGCAAAAGAAAAACCCACAATTAAGCAACGATGCCGGCTCTTTTTAGCGATGATAACTTGATCCACTTTGACCTGTACTGACTTTCTTCTTAAACCTCCAATGTTAAGCTCAACTCAACTTTTAAAATGTTCCTGGGCTGGGAAGGTGGCTCAGTGGTAGAATGCTTGCCTCGCATGCATGAGGCTCTGGGTTTGATTCCTCAGCACCACATAAACAGAAAAAGCCAGAAGTGGCACTGTGGCTCAAGTGGTAGAGCACTAGCCTTGAGCTGAAGGACTGAGGGACAGCGCCCAGGCCCAGAGTTCAAGCCCCATGACCAACAAAAAAAAATTGTTCCTGTCTAATCACCAAGAGAAATAACACCATCTAAACTATACTGTGTTGCTGAAAATCATTTGCTTAAATATTCAATGTAGAAAATGCCTAGAATAGAGAAAAATGCACGAAAATCTCACTAAAAAGACTAGTACCATTTTTTTCCCTAGGAGAATCTTAATAAAACCTCCAGTTTCTATCTACCATCCACAGAATGGTGAAAAGGTCGCATTTTATAAAAAGAAACAAATAATCTGTTTTCACCCACACTGGCAAAGAAGTCTATATTAAGGTAAGCTTAAAACAAAAGCAACTTTCAGTAACAAACTTATCTTAAGATATTAAGAGTTGTATACTAAAAGGTGTCTTTAAAATATAGTTTAAAAATTCTTGATGACGACTAATCTTACTAAAGTGAAATGAACTTTGATTTGCATTTCCTTTATGGCCAGGAATGTCGAGCATTTCCTATGTATTTATTGGCCATTCTTCTGAGAAGTCTCTACTTAGCTTCTTTGCCCATTTATTAATTGGGTTATTGATTCTTTGGTTATTTAGTTTCTTGAGCTCCCTGTATGTTGATTGCTTGTACAAGAGAGAATATCATATGAATATGAAATCTCTGTCTGATAGTCTGCTTCTATAACAAACACCTACATTTATGCCAAATACCAACATACTGTTACACACCATTACCAAAACCACTTAAAGAAATTCTTTTTTTTGTGGTACCGAGGCTTGAACTCAAGGTACCATGCTTGTTAGATAAGTACTCTATCACCTGAGTCATACCCTAAGTCTTTAGCTTTTGGTTTGTTTTTAAGATAGGGTTTTGGGCTAACTTGACCAGGTTTGGCCTCAAACCAGAATCCTCCTATATAGTAGCTGGGTTACAGGTATGTGCCACCATGCCAGCCTTTGTAGAAATTCTCATTGGAAGCTTTAGTAATAAAGAAGGCTAATTTTCTGCTAGGATTAAAAAACTAAAGTTAATATGTTCACATGTATGGTGCGTATCACATACTATTAAAATATTTACTTAAAGAATTTTCCAGTTATTAACACAACAAAACAACAATATATCAAAGAACAGAAATAAGTAATACTAGATCATTGGCCCAATATAAACAACTGCATTCATTTAGTTAACTTAAAAGACTACAGAGCAGTATCCATTGAAATTATTAGACACAGAAATTAATAAATTGAGACATTTCAAATATTGTTTTATATAGTCTCTTCTTTGTACTCTCTACAGGAATTAGCAGTAAGAACCTGTCTAATGAAAGAAGTTTCAGGATTGCAGGTTACAGACATCGACCACATTCTTGTGTCTCCATGAATCTCCAATAAAACTTCAGTAACTTGGCTATAGGGAAAGGTAAGCAGTTTAGAAAAGCAAGGGGCTGGGCACTGGTGGCTCACGCCTAGCTACTCAGGAGGCTGAGATCTGAGGATCAAAGCCAGCCCAGGCAGGAAAGTCCCTGAGACTCTGATCTCCAATAAACCACTAGAAAACTGGAAGTGGCGCTGTGGCTCAAGAGGTAGAGTGCTCGCCTTGAGCTGAAGAGCGCAGGGACAGCGTCTAAGCCCAGAGCTCAAGCCCCACAACCGACAAAAGAAAAAAAAAAAGAAAAGAAAAGCAAGGGAAGGACACCAGGAAGAGAATGATAGGGAAAAAAAATTTGTTTTAATACCAAGCATTCTATTTACAAAAGAAGCAAAGAAAACTTTTATTCTACAGAGCTCAGAGCAGCCCTGCGGAGGCGGGCAAACTGCTGAGCAGGACACGGTCACTCTACCCCTAGACCCATCACACACGCATGGGGTGGCAAGTGCTAGCCATGTGCCATTGTACAAACACCAGCCTGGCCAGCTAGGGAGGAGACGGCAAACCTTGCTGTGGTCAGACAGAAGTCAAGGGATGGGTGCAGGCAGGCAAGCTGCAGCAAGCACACCCTAACCAACTTCATCCCAAGACCCAAATGCAGTGTATTGTATGGCAAGAGTTAACCACCTGCCACTTTGCAAACAAGTGGCAGTCTGGCAGGCTAGGTAAAAGAAGGCAAACTTGGGAAGACAATCATAGCCTGAGCACCCCAATGTGGACAAAGGGCAGGAGTGGTAGCCAGAGAAGTCCATAGAGCACACCCAGACCTGCTTCATCCCTTGACCTAGTGTATCTATAGGTTTACCTAGTGCATTTGTAGTATATTTGCAAGTTTGCCTAGAGTATTTGTCTGGCAAGAGTGAGCCACACACCTTGTGCAAATAAAACCCTCCTGAGGGCTAGAAGGAAGAGGGCAAACCTGTTGCAGATCAGCTAGAAATGACACTAAATTTCGCACATAGCTAGTCACACACCCTGTGCAAACAAAACTATGTTGCAGGCTAGGAGAGAGAGGGCAAACCAGCTGCATGCAGACCAGCCAGAGCAGATACTGAATCTTGCGCATAGGTCGAGGCCTAGGCCACAGAAGCAGTTGTCCTTGGAGCGTACAAAGACCCAGGAGCTGTGCACTCTGGCCCTTGCACGGACCCCTCACTAGCTGCTGCCACACCTGACTAGAACAGCCCAAACCCTTATAGAATTGCTGCAACCCTGGAAGAGCCCTGCCCATAGAATTGCTGTCACTCAACACAAGTAGCCCTCCCCTCCCCTGCCCTGCCCTGCCCAGGCTGAAATCCTGGTGAGAGTCTTAAGCAACCTACCTATCATCATCACAAATAGCTGAGCAACAACTGTAGACAATCCCAGTCCCCAAGAGGAACCCAGGGTGAACACAGCCAGAAAAGCACAGCCAGAACATTGAAGGCCAGAGACTGGAGGAAATCCCCTGCTACACTAAGTCCAGCTGGTGTACACTCTCCTGCTCTGCAACAAGGAAGTACTGACACGTATTTTATCTGATTTTTTCCACTTTTATTTTCTGTCTATTGTTACTATTGTTTTTTAAGTTTTCATTCTTTGATGATAACTATCTTTTTCTACAATAAACTATATTCTTCTACACTATTATTTCATATATCTTCAACCTATATGAAGAAAATCTAGATCACTGTATCAAGCAAAGCTATCTTTCAGAATGGAAAGGCAAACATTTTCAATTAGCAACAATCGCGCCTCGGATAAGCCTGATTGGCTACCATACTGCCGCTGCGCAAAGCTAAGGCAAACATTTTCCATAGCATACAAAAACTGGTGAAACTCTGCAGAAGATACTTAAAGGAAGACAAACATGACCACAAAAACAATGAGAAAGAAATAACACTAGCCAAGTCTCTACATGAGTATTAATTAGGAAAAAAATTAAACACTAACCAAAAAATAAGTCAGAAATTATGTACCTCCTACAAAAACCTCAAATACTAATGATCTCAATTCTCTAAAGGCACAGACTGGTAGATTCAATTAAAAAAACAAGACCCAGCCAGGCACTGGTGGCTCACACCAGTAATTCTACTCAGGAGGCTGAGATCTGAGAATCACAGATGGAAAGGTCCTTGAGACTCTTATCTCCAATAAACTACTCAAAAGAAGGCAGAAGAAGCACTGTGGTTCAAGTGGTAGAGTGCTAGACTTGAGCAAAAGCAGCTAAGGGAAGAACACACACACACACACACACACACACACACACACACAGAGCCAACTATTTGTTGTCTATAAGACAGAGGAAACAAAGGAGGAGGCAACAATGCTTGGTAAGAAATGTGCTCATTACCTTGCTCATGTAATTGTAACCCCTCTGTACAGTATTTTCTTTTTTTTTTTTTCTTATTGCCCCTGCTGTTGTCTCTTCCCACACAGAGGGAACTGGCCCACAACTGAGGCTTACATTGGAACTTGCTTCCTTCTTTTAAATTTTATTGTATTATAAAGATGCTGCACAGAGGTTACAGTTACATAAGTAAGGTAATGACTACTTTCTTGTCGAGAATTTTACCCCCTCCTTTGTGTTTTTAATGTCTTCTATTTTTACAGTAACTCCATAGCCAGATTACTTTCTGTCTCCTCCCAATGTTCCTTCATCTGGCTGTATGTAGAGGAGGGAGGGTGTATTGCACGTTAAATACAGCCCAAAAGAAATGATTCACCAGATAGTAGAAGACTATAGGTCTGTACATGGCTAGGGAGAAACTCCACTGGTAGTATTTTCACAATTAATTTAAAAAAGTGGAAAATGATATTCTAATCAAATGGAACCCCAAAACAAGGAAGAAAAGCCATACTCAGATCTGACCATGCATACTTCAAACCAAATTAGTAGGAGAAAAAAGGAGGTGACTACATGTTGACAAAGGGAGTAATTAATCCATCAGGAAGATACTACAGGGCTGAGCACTGGTAACTCACACTTGTAATCCTAGCTTCTCAGGCAGCTGAGATCTGAGGATCGTGCTTCAAAGCCAGTCAGGCAGGAAAGTTACGGAGACTCTTATCTCCAATTAGACACCAAAAAAACAGAAGTGGAGCAGTGGCTCAAAGTGGTGGGCACCAGCCTAGAGCAAAAAAGCTCAGGGACAGCTCGCAGGGCTTGACTTCAAATCCCAGGACAAAAAAAGAAGACATAATACTCATAACCAGGGAAAACATACAGAATGAACATCAAAGCACTCAATTTCATAAAACAAACACCAGTGGACATCAAAACACAGATATACTCCAACACAATAACAGTGGGT